GTCGTGTTCCCATCCAGGTAGTGGTGTTCCAGTCTTATTTCTGGCCGAGCTGGGACAGCTGAAAATGGAGCGACAGAAAACCATGAGGCTGCTGATCCCTCCTTCCACACCCAGCTCCCAGGTAAGCGTTGCTGGCCTATGAGCTCTGGCTGTTTCTTACAACCCAAACTGTGCTGGGAACAGAACATTTAGTGCGTTCCCTCACAGGAGAGGATCTGAGCTTCGCATCTTAAAGATCTGAATAGATTTCAGAGGTAAAGGTACAGCGTACGCAGTCAAATCAACAAAAAAGGTAATTAGGTGCACTGAATAGTTACAAGATGATAAATATGATTTGTCTCCTTCAAGTGCAACAAGAATAAATTTAGTTCTTTAAAATGTAGTGTTGCATAACTCTACATATAACATGTAACGTTGAACAATTCCACAATAATTCTCATCTTAGCAGGAAGTCGGAGGCGGTGACGGCTCCTGAAGGGCAATTATTTGTTGACCACTGCGAATAGTTTTTATTTTGCATTTGTATTGGAATGAGGCATAGAGAAGTAATGGCCTGATAATGTTTTTAACAGCATTAAAAGATTGTTTTAATATAGGTACGGGCAACCTCAAGCTCCTACTAGGCCAGTATTTATAAATGGCAAAATTTAGGACAAAGGCTTCAAGACCATAGTTAAATAGCAGTTTTTACCTTGTATAAGTCACTAGAATAGCCTCAAAAGACAGGCTATTTGTGGAAAGTACCAAGAACAGAGTAATTTTTCCTTTCACTAGGATTTATGTTAAAGCAATTATTAATAACTTGTTCACCTGCATTACCCATGATCTCACATTGACAATACAGGCCTTCAAAAGTTAATTACTGACTCCGAACCCCCATTTCAATCAAGAGAAACAGGTAACAGTAACTTGTATTAATCTTTCAATATTTTTTTAAGTACATAGAGATATGTAAAGGTAAATAAGCCATAACACAATCAGAGAAGTGATAAACGTTACAGAGGTTATCAAAGGTACCTACCTGTTTTATAAACTGAGTAGCATTAAAGATCTCACTGCAGCCGTACAGGACGTGTTTGCCTTGTTTGCCCTAAAAAACCAGAAAAGCCAGGAAGAAATCAAGTGTTTAACAGAGTAGCAGAAGTGGATTAAACGAATTGTACAGCAAAAAAACCTAAATCTTGATGATGTTTAAGTCCTATACTTTTGGCTGGAAAAAAGAATAGCTCCATCAGAGGAAAAAAAACACCCTGTAATTAAACTGAAGTGGAAAATGAGACCAGAGGCAGAAAGAAAGGGGAAACCATGGGGCTTTTTACACATTTGAATTCACTATAACACTCAGGTCTTTGCTATATTGAAGAATGGCTTGGGGAAGTTAACAACCCTACTTGAGCAAACCCTACCCCCTAAAATAACTGGGCACTGCTCTAACACAATAGAAAATATGTTGGTATTATTCTTAGAGTCTGAAAACTTTTGTGTGTTTTTTTTTGTGTGGTTGGACTCAATGATCTCAAAGGTCCCTTCCAACCATGAAGATTCTGTGATTCCCATATAACAATGATGAAACCAGCATCTTTTTGTAAAGGGATTCTGAAACAAAATATTATGTTGATTTCAATCAGATGCATAATAAAGCTAATTAGCAGTGAATGGTTTAATTGTAGCAGCTTGATAGTAAAAAGGCTGCTGAAGTACTGTGTTAGCATTTTGGAAGTGAAAATTAGTTTATTTCTAGTGTTGGGCTAATAATCCCAGGGTTCTTCAAAATTCAAGCCTATGCTTGAACTTTGGTTTCACTGTTATTTTGCATTTTCCCATATTAGCTAGGTAAAAATTACTTAGGAAAGAGCAAAATAGGAACATAAGCCTTGAAAAAAATATTTTCTTTCAAATATATTATGAATTGTGCCGTTTCAGCAGAAAGTAACAGAAGCAGATTCTAACAGTCCTTAGCTGGTGGTCACACACTAATTGGGGAGATGGTAATCCTGGTTCAGGCTCTCATCTCTATTAATTCTGAGTGGTTTGTGGTAATAAACTGTCCTCGTTGCTGAGCAGAATCTTGAGCTTGCATCTTCCCACATTTCAGGCCAGTTTTTTTAATCTGGATGCCCAAAGGGGTCTGGTTTTGATCTGAACTTGAACAGATGCTTCTTTGAGTAGCATGGCTGAGTAGCATGTGGTTCTATCTAGTACCAACAGAAAATCTAAAATGATACAAATAATTGTGAAATGGGACTGCTGTCTTTCAGGCAGCTCTGAAATATGCCTCTATGTAATGCTTCCAGCCTCTCATAGATATTCTTATAAAAGTACAATTTTAAATAAAAGCATACACATTTTACAAGTTAATTATTTAGCCCATTCAAACCAAGAGATCTATCTCCAATTAATGGAGCCAAGCAGAAACTGCTTAACATAAAAAAAAAAAAAAAAAATTAGAACTCAATACTCTTCAAGTACTGTTCAGTACTCTTCAAAATCTAAAAATTTTTTTGTGATAAACGATAACATCTGTCCCAGGTAGATTGGAACAGATTATCAAGCAATACCTTTCTAACCATATGCAAAAAGAAATTAAGGGACATGCTAAATTATTTTATAAATTCTTTCAAAACAGTGTGCTGGTCTCCTCTTAGAGGCTCCCTCTGGCATGCAGTTTTGATGACACATTTTCAGCATCTTGAACCGAACTTGGCCAATATATCTATTTTAAGGCATAATCTGCCTTACTAACATTATAAATATTTGCTTTTTGAAAATATGAGATAGTTCATTCTAGCACAGAACTACAAATAATTGGATTTGAGGGTTTCTCTTAAGTCTCCTACAAGAAAACCCCGAATGTCAAAGCTGAATGAACATTGCTTCCTGTTTTACAAAGTTTTAAAATACTTTCTCTGTCCTTTCAGAGGCAAACTGGCAAAACAGATAGTGCTTAGAAAAATAAAGCAGTGAATAAAATCTTTGTGGTATCTGCTTGCAAGAACAGAGCTGTTGATTTTTCTCTGTTTTTTATTCTGGAGGAAGACTGATTGAATATTAGAATAATTAATAAGCTACATCTGTTGAAACAACAGATAATGGAAATGTACCACATGGAAAACAAATTTTATTGGCTAAGCCTGTAAGAGTCACCTGGGAGTGACTTTTGCCAGATATCTTTTGCCAGATTTACGAAAACTAGAGAATTCTGAGCAGTTTCTTACTTTCAAGGCTATGATATGTTTTATTTACATACATATATATATATAGATACAGCTGCTTTAGTTAACAACAGCAAATGTACACTAGGAACAGGACTGTTAATTCAGTTTGCTACATCTGCTGACAGTTTTCAATCATGACAGGGTATATGAAGACAAAATAAAGTAGAATGCAGTTTATTTACTCTATTCAAAATTGCAACATGAGCAAAAATACCAGAAACAGTAACTCTTTGTTGGTCTGAATTAATCATCCACATTTTCTACTGATTTCTTATATACTTTTCCCCAGACTCTGTATCTAATAAGGATGTTGAGGCTAATGTCATAGCCTTAACCTTCTAAATACGAAGTTAGAGCCTACAAGCGCCAGGAGTGCACATACCTTTATGTAGTCAATGAGATTTTGATATTCAATATAGTTGCCTCCTCCCACTACAAACACTATTGCCTGAAAAGCAACACACACATAATCAGAGCATGCATTTAAATTCCTCACATTTCAGTAGTAAAATATACACCAAATCATTAAGCCTACAGCGAAAACTCATCCTAATCACACTGCAGTCTAATAAGAACTGGATACAGAACCACTAGCTTCCTACGTGAAAGAAGGCAACGGAGGAGTTTTAGTAGGACACAGAACAGCAAGCTGAGAGCTTTTAACCTGTCACTGGCTTCTACTAAGAACCATTTGAAACACACACGGTTTCAATGTGTTATTTTTTGTGCAGGGATGTCTCCAGTGTCCATAGGAACAGATAAAATATTTCCATGGTTGCTTAAGAATTAATTCAGGACACCAAATACTTCGGGTATAATGTAATATACTTTTTAGCTATTTCCCTCCCTCTCACTTATTACTGTTAATAATCTATAAGATTCAGGTAAAGGCCATCAGTATTTTCTGGGCTACGCTTAAAAGAGAACAAATAATGAATAGAAAAAGGAGAGTTAATAGTTGCATCATTTTTGTTAACATTCACTATCCAAAGCTGTTTGACTACACTACACAAGTTTTATACAGACGTTATGTTAGTACTGACATTTTAGCTATGAGTGCCTGCTCGCCATAGACAGATATCTGTGTGACACCATGTGGGATTTCTTTGGTTCAGGAGGGTAACTAACACAGGTCAAGAGAAAACCAAGACACTTGTACATTGCCAAGGCAAAGATTTTGCCTATGAAACTTGGGAGTAAGATCAGGTAAGACTCTTACTATTTACAAAGATTTATGTTGAAAAAATACTGAAAGTTACTGGCATTTGTATAAAATGACAACATTTGTTGTTTTGCTTTTTGCCTTGAATTGCAGAGACTGTTTAAAATACTGTCACTTAAATGGGTGGGCAACACCGCTGTTTAAGGCCGGACAAAGGATTAAATCTGAGAGCACTCAAATGATCTGCTATAAAAATGAGGAGTTTAAATTGTTGAGTACCCAATTATAATATTAATTAATCCCTGTAATTTCCTCCAGAAGAATTTTCTAGATTTTTCTCTTCTCCAGTATTAGTTAATGCTTACAGTCCTTTGAGGATGAAAAGACTTCTTCAGAATCACAGCTAATTATAATTAATACTATGTATAATTAGTTTGAGTGGTTTTTGCAAACAAGACCTCTCATTTTCTTAATCATGATCATCAAAAATGACTGGTACTTCAGGATTTATTTATATTTAACGCATGAACACTGAAAAATAATTTCTACTTGACTTACCTCCTGGAATGGATTTTTACTTCTTGGAATGGAACTGTAAAAAGAACACAAACAAACTACAACTTAGATTTTATTAGGCATTAATATTAATATGCAAAATAAGCATCATTTACATGTTTATAGAATACTATGTAATATTAGAAAAATATATAACATAGAAAATTAATTGCTTTTCTGCATTCACTCTCCAAGTATTTTGTTTAAAGGATTTGTTCTGACCAACCATTCATTCTACCTGAAGCTGTAACGGGAGCAGCGCTGGCCGGGAGCAAATACAATGAGAAGAACATTTCATCACCATTAGCCCAGTTTGTGACACTTACCAATCCTGCTGACTGGAATCCTGACTGGGTAAGCCAGTCCCCTTCCAGTGCCTGCCTACATACTTACTGATGCCTCCATCTCAAAAACTACCAGGGGCAGCAGGCATGTGTTCTGCTGTCGGGTGTCACTGCAATCTCAGCATTAACATGCTTTAACGAGGAAGAGGTAAGTTACAGTTTGGGTGGTGCAGACTCTTCCTCTCCAGGTCAATATGCAATCCTGGCCACAGGGAGGGAGCTGGGAGAAGGGGAGAAACCTCTTTTCCTGTATCACCATGTGCCTTCAGGAGGAAAGGAAAAAGGGCAAGAGAAAGCTGTGCAGGGTCAGTCTGCTCTCCTGCCTCCTGCTCACACGCTCCCTCCTTCCTGCCCTGCGCCCTCAGACACAGCCTGTGCTAACACTGATGAGACGCATCGCAGCTTCTCTTCTCCCTGACTTCAGCAAGTTTCTCCAAGTGGCCAACAACAATTGACTCAACACTGATTTCAGCGTATCAGAAAAACAGGTTTTAAGAGGGAATGGCACCGTCTATTATGTTGGTTTAGTCTGCTGTGAGTAGCACAGACTCCTGAAAAGCAGAACTGTTAGCCCAGTTCTCTCCTCATTTGACTATGAGATGACAAATGCACACACATTTTGTGTCATCCCTTCAGAGGGTGAGGCCTCTTTATACTTGATGCAGGCTTTATACAGGATACAGAGATACTGGTTTGCTAAGATTAACTTACAGTAATGCAGTTCCTGCTCTACTGAAAAAATAGTAAGTCAAAACACCAATATTTCTTAAAACACGAGTAGTTTAGGAAAAAAAATTAGTCACTTTTAAATATAATCCCATTAATTATATCATTTTATATTGTTATTTTAAGTTAATAATATTTTGTCAAGCCAGCTAACCTATTTTTTTTTATCATCTACATAAATATTTAAAGGAAGAATAAGACAAGCCCCTATGTGGCTATACTAGAGTTTTGTTGTCATGCTCAAATAAGATTTAAGAAACATAACTTGAGTTTATGGAAAAAAAACCACAAACAACCCCCAAACCAGAAATTCTGTTTTTTCCTACAACGATGATTATAGCTACACAGAATGGCACATTTATGAACTGCGGTAAGTGCATGTCTTCACATTGTTTAAAGCAACATAAAAAATATGTGGAGTGGGTAAAAATGCACATTTACATGAGGAAAAATCCTTTGGTATTAATAAAACTAATCTTTGCACTTTTGCACAAAGTCCTCCAAAAATGCTATAAAAGCATAATAAAACAATGAAAGTTGCAATTAAAACAAAACATGAAATACTGGTAATTTTTTTCTTTGATGTTTTAAAAATCTGCGTATCTTTGAAATTAAGTAGTCTGTAATAATACTTTCCAATAAAACATATGTATTATCTGAAACATCTTTCCTATTGCTACTCATACTGTCAGAAATATACTCTCCATGATTCAAGAACAGAGGCAGTAGGCACAGATTCTAGGATAAATAACTAAAACTAAGTCTGGACATACTTTATCCATATTCAGCCTGTAATAAACCCCTGCGATTAAATGAGCTGATTGTTTTCCCACAGCTCAGATGAAAATTATTTTTAGCAGGTATGTTAAAAGTAAGTATCTTTGCTGTTCCTAGCATATTGAGGGTGAGATTATCAGCCATAGTTATTGGTCAAAGATATAAAGACAAAGATATAAAATTATAAACTTGTAGTGTAATTCCTCTTCCCCTCTTTTATTGGCAAAATAAACTATATCCAACTGTCCCTTCCAATGCTCATGAATATAAAATGTGCACCTGCCAATACAAAAGCAAATGCAGTCAAGTTTTAACAATTATTTTTTTTTGCAAAGCTATTAACAAATTTCTGAAGAAGGGTTGCATTCAGATTTAAATTTTAACTTTTAAAAAAGTGATAAATTTTGTTACGCTATCCGATGACTTTTTAATGTAACAGTAAAACCCGCAAAAGTACACGTTGCTGTGGCTGAAGGGAGGTACATGTTAGCAACATGTTCCCTCACTGGAATGGAGATAGATTTTGTAGTGTCATAGACATTTATCTGGTTGATCCAAGTTCCTCTTGTGAATTCCTTCAACACCAACTGTCTTGACTTAGAATTAATGATTAAAATTAATTACTTGTAGTCAGCAAGTAAAATAAAACCGGATTTCTTAAGTTAGCCTTTTTGCAGGGTACAAGGAAAGAAGCAAAACTCATAATGACCTCACCTGTCACTGCCTCGTAGCATCTTGGGGTCAAAATACCGGTAGTCATCCGTCTCCTATTAAAAAGTACATTTTTATCTCAAAAGATTGGAATTTTGGCTTATGAGCTTCTGCTTGGATCTATTACATTAAACATCATTCAAACCAATGTCATTTCCCATTCACCAGTCCCATCATTCACAATTAACTGTGGTGTCCACTAACATTGACAGTATTTGTACGTAACTGAACCGGTACAGAATAAACACGGGTGAGAGAGCTATGAAGGGTACTATTGAGCTTTTTGTTTCTGGTTCACCTAAAATTGACTGTTACACACTTTCCAAAAAACACACTGGTTGCACAATAAATCCCAACAGAATGGCAGATGCAGAAAGAAAAATTAAGGTGTTACCAGCTTAAGAGGAACATCACGTGGTTAGTTATAAATGCTAAAATTTTCCAGGTTACAGAGATCTGCTATTGATTTAATATAAAACAAAACATTTCTACGGCAATGAAGGCTAAATATAAGAGATCAAAATCTGCTACTGTTATGTAACTTACCCTTTTCATTTCATGATTTATGACTACTATTAAACCAAAATTAAGCTCTTGAAGAAGAAATGAGTTCCACAAGAATTTGAAAAGTCTGACTGTCTAAACTATACAAAAAAATTTTTTTCTTCACACGAAACACTCAAGCACTTCCAATATTTTTATTGGCAACAAGCAGGATCTTTGCCAATTATTACAGATGAAAAACAAAACTTCTTAGTAACTCCTTCTGACAACTACTTGGCTTTCTTCTGTTTCTATACTACTTTTTCACCCAGGTACTGTGAAGTTTCGTTTGAGTATAAACTGCATGCAGGGCTACAGCTGCTTTCATCTGGCTGCTTACACGCAAGATCTCTGTGTTTTGATGACTCTGTAGAGCAGAAATAATTCTCCTTGAGTAGCAGACAGATTATCTGGGGAATTTATTAGAGCTCACAAAGCATAACTATCTCTAATACTACGAAATATTTAGTATACATGTGGTGGTTACACACACAGAAGATAAATCTATTTGATACTAAGGACTTTTATCTAATTACATAAAATAAGTCTTTTATCCTCAAGTTTGCCTTTTAAAAAATTTAATTTAGATCTAATTTCACACTGAACCTCTGTAAAATGCTTTTCTATGCTCCAGTGGGAATTTCAACTGAATTTGCAAAGTCTGCCAGCATTGATGGTTTTGGCAGCCTCACATCTGAAGGTGGTATAGCAACTTCAAGTCATGAGAGAGCTGGGAATGGACAGATATTGCTAACCTAAAACCTCCAATACCTAAGAGGTATTGGAGAAATATTTAACTCGGATAAAGAGCTGCAGCTTCGCTTGTTAGAATGAATTACAGATTAATGCCAGAACTAAAATCAGAGTGAAAAACACAATATTACAAACATTTCCTCCTGAACGTATGACTGTTGTGCTTTTTCGCTGTGGGCTTGTGCAATTAGACATACAAAAAGTGGCAAAGTAATAGAAATGTGATAAGCTAGCTTAGTTTTTGTTGTTGTTTAAATACACCATTCTTGCTGAAATCAGTTCTGAAGATGCAGGGAAAGTAACCCTACTAGATTTTATTGGCTCGAAGAAATAGCTAGTCTGCCAGTAGAAACAACTGTATAGTGGTTTCGTTACACAGAACTGAATTTGTGACTTCCCTAAGAAATTCAAGAATAAAATTCATGCTTTTGAAATTATAAATAGAATTTTCAGAATTCCAAATTAAAATGGACCCATGGAAATATCCTCGACTTTCAGTCTATTTGCTTTTCTGCAAACATGACTAGTTTGGATTAAGGAAATCCCCATTTTTCGAATTTTCATTGTAATGCATGAAAGATTAAGATATCATACTGTATCGTATCATATCCTAAGCCTGAAAGGTTTCATATCCACTGAAAAGAATGAAATGAACCAAAATACAGTTCCATTCATATGTAACACAAATAAGATTTATCTACCTCTTAAGTCAATACAAATGTATATACTGTACTAACAGACTTTGGGACTTCTTCATAAAAAAACATTAAAGGTTTACTTATCAAAGACAGTCCTTCCCCAAGAATTTTGTGGAAGATACTTAAAAGAACCTCCATAATTCTGAAGTATGTGGTGGTCAGTTTGATATCTATGGGTTAAAATTTGTGTATACTTGACAACATGATTTTTTTTGTGTGTTAGGAAGATTAAAGTTTTATTCGGTCTCTATGGAGTGATACCAAAATGAAGCAGCTACGTTATTAGATTTACAAACAGAACATTCCTTTAGGAAAACAGAATCTCAAAAGCAATTGCTTAAAAACCTGCTTTGAGCACAAACTGGTACTATTCAAAAAACCCAAGTAACGGATTACTTTAAGGTCATCAGTGAATGTTTCTGAATAAATACTTCAAGCAAAAGTTAACTGCAGTTAAACACTCTACACAAATTTAAAAAAATTACAGGATGGTATTATTGCCTATAAGAATCTGTTCCTGCTTACGATAAATTTGGAAGGCACGAGTCCAGACTCATCTGTCCTTCCTGGCAGCTGCTCCTGGGACAAGTACCACACAAAATGATTTACAGCCAACCCTCCAGAGTTTTGCACAGCTCATCGCTCTGAATAGGTTTAAAACTTCACCTGACAATAATATTTTGAATGGTGGTGGCACAAGTTGTACGCTTCGTATATTTACTATATTGTTGCATTTTATATTTAGAAAATAATTTTAATTATTTACATGCATTGTAATAATTGTTCAACTTTTCAATAGTCTGTTCTAATTTGGCTTTACAACTTTTATCTGTATATTTCATTCACTGACCACTCTGGTTAGTAAGCCTCAATAAACTATAAAGGAGGTTTTTTTACTGTGTTGCAAAAAAATTAAAATCTTAAGCTTTTTTCCCCCTCCCTTTTTATTTTGCCTGCAGTGCAATAGTTTTCTGTTAAGGTGAATAGAAAAGTACCTCAAGCATCAGAAGATGAACAGAGGCCAGGGTGGTGTATTTCTAGAGCCTACACATTCCCCAGTGACCCTCCGGCTCCCTTTTCCCAGCTGGAACTGACCCCAAAAGCTGCTCTCAGTTCCCTGCAGGTTGGAACTGGCTCTGGGCCCTGCTGTGGCCCAGCAGCAGCACTCACTCCCTGGTCTGGGGCACGAATGCCCGGCTCTGACACGGCCCTGAAACATGGAGCCTCTGTCTGACAGACCCGCTCCATCTCTGCTTTCTCAGGGGAGAAGATCAGTATTTTCTCCAAATTATCCAAGTGATCCTGGCTGTTTTCTGCTAAGTGAAACGTGACAATATCAAGTCAGCAAAAAACGCCTGTATAACTTGTAAACTTTTCCAAATCAATTCCTAAACTTGTAGGCTGAGGAAGCTAGTGTTTATTTAAAAAAAAAATAAATTTCATTTTTCACCTAGTTATAAGTAGTAGTAGTAGTTTTTAATTTCAGCCTTCTGTATTAAGTGCTGTGAGTGACCTCTACTGGTTGACTTTGCTACAACTGGCCCTGGACAGCTTTTCCAAGTCCTGCAAACAGGGACAACAATCCACTGCCACCAAAACCAGGGTCAAGTTCTTTGTTCCTTAAGAGGAAGCAAATTTTCTGCTAACAGTGCTGACATCAGATATTATCTATGAGTACAGTTTAAGAAAAGACAGGATTACTTGCATGTCGATCATTTATATTTTACCATTACTTATCTCCCTTTAACTCTAGTTCATACCTGAAGATGAAAGTGGACTAAGAAAAATGCTGTAAATCTAATCAGTAGTAAGAAAAAAACGACTACCTTGACTATATGCTACACATAAAAAGACTTAGGGCTACTTTTAGCTGTAAATTCTAGCAAATGTCTTGACTAGCTAACATTTAAGTGTTTCAAAAGTCTGTAACCTTAGTCTGAGTAAACTTTCACAGAAACAAGGGGAAAAGAGGACTCTTCCGGCACAAACCCAGCTCTGCTTGCAAACTGAAAGACTGCATGAGTACTAAAATATTTTCCTCTAAACGGCAAAGCATTAAACATGTGGGAAACAAAATTTTCACTAACATACCTCTCTGTAACTATTTTACCTCTGAAATGGCTCTCTTAAAAGAAAATCACCCTGATGCAACGAAAATTTCAGCCCACAGTTTAACTTTCAGAAATCTAGGAGCAACAGAAACTCAGTAGAGCACAACAGTAACAAGCTCAAAACAGAAAAAGGACTCAGAACCACTAGTTCCAAGCAGATGCAATAAATTGTTATTGTTTAGAAAGTATTTTTATACAAAAAAATCTTACGAAATCATTATGAAAATGGTTTTATTCTTGAGCTACTGCATGATTAGCTTTAACTGCACTAGTTTGAAAAAAAATAGCCATGGCATATCACATATCACAGCCTCAAGATTTCACTTGTTCCACCTCTTCCCACGTGAAGGCCGTTATACTCACAGGGTTTGACTTCATCTCCATGAGGTTGTCCAATATCCGTGTCACTGGCAGATTCTGTAAGATGTAACGGGAAATTATTGGAATGGTGAAGTGCTTACTAAGAATTATTCACAGCCATACTATTATTTACGGAATAGTTTACACAGCATTTGAAATACTACTTTAAACAGTTTTCCTCTTGTATTTTGTAAAGGTTGAGCATTTTTGTCATCACCTAAATTACCTTTCTGTACAGAAAACACAAACATCTGAGGAGCATCTAACTAGGGGATGAACAGAAAGTGCAAAAAACGTGTGAAGAGGGGAACAGAGCTGTATTTAGGTATTACCAACACATGCAGACGTGATGACGTATGAATTCTTATAAAAAAATACTTTGCAAATTAAGGAAATAATTTTAAAGCTGAAGATGAGACTTAAAGGTGTGATTCTAAAATAGAACTAATGTCATCAAAGACATGGATAAAACAAAGCAATCCTGGCAACAAGTGTTTGGATGAACTGGAAAGGAATGAACTGAGGTGAGATTCACGATGACTCTTCCTTATTTACGATGGGAAATGTTAGCTTGGACAAAGCATCCAAAGTTTAAACAGTCAAACAACTTTAGTTATAATAAAGTGAGGGAGAATTTACAAAGCAATTGAATTGGAAATGTGTCTTGTTAACAGAATAGATCAAAAAAGGACATTCCAAAGGACAAATAACACTGAAAAACACTTAGTAAAAAACCAATGTAAATCCCCAAATGGCAAATAAAAAGCTAACTTTAATAGAAATACAACAGACCTACATCAAACTTAAACATGAGGAAGAGCAGCATTTTATTTGGCTACCCCAAAACACCTAAAGGAGTTAAAAGCCAGAAAACAAATATCCTGAAAACATTGGCGCTGTGGCTTCTTACTCACACGGAACCCAAACAAAACAAGCTGTTTTGTCAAGAACAACACTAACTTTTTAAAGCCACACATGTTAAAAGAAATGACAAAATGTTTAATATGAGAAGAATAGGAAGTCTCATTTAGAATATAGTTATTATCTGTTGTTACAAGTAGCAGTTTATCTGAAGATCTCTCTATGACATATACCACACAGGCAAGCCGCGGATTTAAAACAGTGTCCTCAACTGTATTTCATGACACTGACCACTGATTGTAACTGTGCAATGGAACTTATCATGTCTAGTCAATTTCACTGACTACCCTATAAAAGCCACAGAAACAATTTCTTTAAACTTTTATGTGATAGTTGATACTTTTCATGCACAAATTATGTCTGTAACAGGATGACTAAACAAACAACAGCAATGATAAGATTAACTATGTCAAAAAGCTGCACATTTGAGTGACATTTCATTTTTTTAGTTCTGATAGGCTGTATTTCTAAATTAAATTTTGGTTCTTCCACTAAGAATATAATGTAATATGACAAACGATCTTTTTCTTTGAAATCTTGAGGTCAAAATATTACAGAATTAAGATTTTTTAACTGTAAATATTTATTTATTGCCATCTGACAAAACTGCATATTGGAGAATACAATGTGTCCTCTACAGGGAAGCAGATTTCTGGGAACCACAATTCAAAATTTCAGCTACGAGTTATACAACCGGTGTCTTTTTTGTTGTCATTTATTTTCTTTTGGGGGGTTTACATTGAAATTTGCAGGCAAGTAATGCTTAGAAATGTTTTCTAAAGTTAAGCGAGTATTTGAAGGTGCCCATGTCATTACAAACACACTCTGATTTTCAAGCACAACACACGACTGTGGTTGCTGTACAATCCCCATGGGGGAAAACTAGAAAGGCCTGCACCGTAACTGAACGGAGAATGAACACTTTCAGCTTTTCAGTCACTCTGGAATAGATGCATTTAATACATCCTCTTCTAAACAAAGATAGGGAAGGGGGATTTTTTGTTTATGAAGGTCTAGTCTATTTTGATTATTCCACAGTTGCTCTTTTTATAGTGCTGAAATCAGTCATAATCACACATACAGGAATCTAATTCCTTGTAAGTGGAGGTATTCAAACAAAATTTGAACATTATTCCTTACTTGTCTAAAAACTGGAAGCTACAAAGTGATAGATCTACCCACCAGCAGAGGCTGATGCTTTTTTTTTATTGTACTGCTAATTTTATTAATATGACAGAGGTACTGAAAGTTGCTTTTCTAGATGTTCACAATGCTCACGTGATAGACTTTTTTACATTGTTTTTTAAACTTACTTGTTGCTTCAGTACCATGTTCTTCACTCCTTCCATTACAAACTGTGATCCTGTATTCATAACACGTGAAAAAAGACTGAAAAAAAAAATGTTGATGTGTATTTTTTATTAATAAAGTTGATGTGTTATTCTTTTATTAATTTGCATGCTTAAGCTTTATGCTGACATCCAATTCCCATTAAAGTTGATGGGACTTAACCACCAAGTCATTCAATTTGTCATGAAATATATTTTTCCAACCACAGGGCAACCAAGTGCATGGGAATACACCTGTTATCTAGCAGCTAGATCCTCAGCTACCAACAGGAGTCTTGAGTTCTACTCTTTAATCCATTGGACAGTTTATTTTACAACTTCAGCGATGCAGGGATTTAAGTGCTCCTTTTAAGCGTGTCACCAGAGTTAACAGAGATGATCAGTGTCTCCAAGCAACCAAACAGTAATTTTTCCAAGTGAGACAGCACTAGAATTCAGAACCCTCTCTAACCACACTGCGCACAGTTTCCTTATGACAGTGACAGGGTCGTGTCATTCCTCAAAGTGAAGTTGGTAACGAGGGTTCAAATCCTCTCAAGCGTGGAAAGACTCAAGTCCCATATCCTTGTACGGGATATAAATACCCTTAACACAATCATTATCTTTTCACATCTTGAAATAAACAACTACACTTTGCAACAAGCAGACAGACACCCAGCCCAGGACACCCTAACAAAAAAGCGGTGTGTTCTTGCACCCCTGGCAGCCTCCAAGCCCTGGAGAGAACCAGCTCTGAATACACAGGGCTGTTCTTACCTTCTGCCATTGACTAAATAAGGCTCAAAACGATGGCTGTCACAGACCCACCTCCTGGGGCTGAATTATTTTCCTGTGAGAGCCTGTACCTTTAATGTGCAGGTGGAGACATCACTGTATGAAGTTACTTTGTGGATTTAGTCACACATCCTTTTATTTTCCTGTGTGTAAGTCCTGTACACTCTTAGGGGAAGATGAGGGCTTGTCATTGTAACTTAAAACTTCTAGCAAACAGGGAAGATGTTTTATTCTGGGCCTTGTACAGCACTAATCACACTTTCAATGCTATTAAAATAAGCTACAGAACCCCGAAGGCTTACATAAAATGAATCAAAAGCGTACCCCAAAGGTTTAGGCGTAGTGTTTCCGTAGCTGGTTGGAGCTGAAGCCATCTTAGTGAAAGCCCTGTGAAAGCAGGGAGAGAAATCAAGTGCTTATCTCATGGCACACTCTGCTGCAGAATGTTCCACTCTGGTCATCCGAAAGTGAAAAAACTTCTGCTTCTCAAACTCTTTCAGGAAGTAACTATTTATTACATGCATCCCTCTTGTCTAGAAATACAATAGTTAAGGAACTGAAAGATATTAGATTCTACACTTAAAGACAAATACTTTACTTTGATACCATGTAAAACCAGACTCGCTGATGGGCAGCGTGGCCCTTTCATTGAATTCAATAAGTTGTTTCTGTCTTGGATCATTAAGCACACGACTACGTGTCTTGTTCAATACTGTTCTGGCATTACTGGAGTTCAATTTTAAAATAAGAGTTGCATTTATTACTGTTACAAGTAACAACAGCAAAAAAACGATGCCAGAATGATTATTTAAGGATCACTTACAACATGTAATTCTTTGATAACAATGCTGAGTTCTGTAAAGTTACCCAGTTATAACCTCAGGTAGGAGAAAAAAGAAATTACTTACTTCCATTGCTTTATGTAGTTCAAAGGAGCAAGATTACAACCTGCATCCATCAAGGCTTTTTTATACTGCTCCAAATCAATCTGAAATTATGGAGAATTGCAAAAGGTTGAAACTACTCTCTTTACATAGAAAGACAAGATATTCTTATCTAATATTAAATAAGCAGTGTAAAGTTAGAGCATTAACCAAAGTTAAAAAGTAATTATGAGTCCTATTAAGTATGAAAATACAACTTAAAATGCAGTTTACTATGAGCAACTCTCATTAAATTTAACAGCATTTGTGGAATTAAATCCTGTGCATGTTCAGATATGGGAACACTCTTTTATATTAGCATCTTTAAAAACCTGACAGAGTACTGGTTCCTGTAAAATCTCACAACAGCAAAGAACAAAAACGAAGAGGAGTTAACAGACATTTATAAGAATACTTTCTCTTTGCCTAACCCAATGTATTTTTTCTACCACGTAATCTACAGTATAATAAAAATCTTCCTTGAAATTAATCATCATAAGTTCAAGAGAAATATTAAAAAATTGTTTCCTGAATTCAGATACTGGCACAAAAAGCATTTCTCCTTTATTCATCTCCTAGTCAACTCACCCAATTACAAGGACGGAGTAAAAAGAGCCATATTAACATTTTGTTTTATCTCCTTCTGTTGAGCAGTGGGGCAGAGTAACAGAAAGCACACCAAGATGTCTCTCACAGTAGCTCCAAACTAAGTATTTCAAAAGATAATCTTTCTTCTTACTAGTCATTCATATCCTTTGAAACGGTGGCTAAAGCTTTATGAGCAGATTCCCTGATAATGCTACAAAATTTATTTAAAGTTTTAATTTTTCCTGGGCATTTCATGCTTCACTTCAAGGAGAAGCAGAAATACGTATTTAGTGCTGAAATGATACAGAGAAGTCCTGTGTGGTAGAATTTGGTGTTGGAAGCTATAAAGACCATACATACCTCTGAAGGTGCCTGAGCTGAACTTATGTAATAGATAAGAAATAATCTCATTTTGTCTTCTGGAGTTCCTGCTGCAGTGAAAAAAAATATTAAAAACTAGAATTGTAACTGTGCTGCTATGTTAATTGCTCTTCAGTAATAATATATACAGATATTCATACCTTTAGTTATGACAGTAATTGTTATCTATAACTGTGGCCTTATTCAGTGTATAAAATGGTAGAAAGACATTTAGCAATTTTATTAAAAGTTGGGTTAAACTGGCTCACTGTTTCTGAAAGTTTACTTACCCTTCCCCATTTTTGCCTGTAGAGAATGTTATTCTTCAACTAAGATAGTAAAGTTATGTAGTGGCGTTATGTCTTATTTTATGTGGGGGTTGCAAGCATTAGCAGGGAGTAGACCCATAAAAGAGGAGACTGAAGAAAAATCATAAAAGCCACAACACATTATTTTTTAGCTCTATGGTTGACTGTACTGAAACACCTGAGGGCTGCAAAGGCACTTATGGGAACTTTTGGTCAGGAAAAAATCCTGATTCTATCTTTCCTTCAGGAAGGATTTCACCTCCTGAATCATCTTTTGTCACACCATTTTTTGGAGAAAAAAAATGCTACAAATTCTTGGGAAGTACTATCAGTGCCAACTGAAATTGATCCCTGCAAGATCAAAACGATGATGTGGCCATCCCTGTTACTCGGCTACAACCCACAGCAGATTTTGAATGCCATCTATATTTTTCTAGAACACAATCACTGTTAGTAGAGACCATCATTTCAAATGAAGATTTCATAAGTACAACTTCTCAAAACGGACATTTCAAATTCATAATCCAACACTTCAGTAAAAAAGCTTGATATCTTTAGATATAGTACAATATTTAAAAAAACCCTGCACTTTCTTGTACTTTTGGGTAAGAAAAATGGTAATTTTTTCTGGGTCTTTGTTTTGGGTTTTTTCCCTGCCACTACGGAATGTGGATCATGGCAGCAGGGGATCATCTAATCTCATCTGCAACTTCTGTTTGTATGTCAGCATATATTTAGTTTGGCAGAAGTTAAGAGTAAGTGCTGTCATAATGAACATTTATGACTTGGTACAATTTTTTCTGGGAAATAAGTTTGATTAACCTTTACCAAATACCAGTAAGCCGGAAGATTAAGAAGAAACTTTGTATTATCTAAACCAAAAGCCAGTATTCATGGTAGACAACCACTTGGAGTTCACTCGGGTAAAAAAAAAAAGCGTTATTTCTAAAATTCTAATAAAATTCTAAACATACAGTGGAACTGACTGGTTTCTGTAACTGACGTGGAAACTTGGTTTCCAGCTTCCAGTTCACAGCTTGTTCCAGCACTTCGCTGATGGCTGCCTTTCGGTTTCAGCAGTGCTTCCCAGGCTGGGCCTATTGACCACGTCTGCAAAACTGTAAGGTTTGTGCTCACAGGGGTGTACATGCTCTCACTTATATATGACTGTAACTGATATTTTGTCTTGGTAAAAGAAAATAAATTTTTAAAAAAGATCTGTGATAGTACTGTGTACGCTTTATTAAATCTTAGGAAAACCACTTTGTTTGGCAAAAGTACTTTACTCTTGACTGATGCAAATCACAGCTGTGATAAACAGCTATAAGACTCAGGTCAGTTGCCTGTAAAACGTCCCCTATTTTTTTTCTAGGCCATGGTCTGTGACAGCACAGGGAGGCGGAATGATAAATGCTCTGAAGAAAACCTAACTTGGTAAACCTAGAACAGAATGATTTTATTTTCCAGTCAAAAACCAGCAGGCAGCCTTCAGTGCTACTGATTAACTACCATAGAATCACAGAATGGTTAGAGCTGGAAGGGACCTTAAAGATCATCTAGTTCCAACCCCCCTGCCATGGGCAGGGACACCTCCCACTAGAGCACGTTGCTCAAAGCCCCATCCAGCCTGGCCTTGAATACCTCCAGGGATGGGGCCTCCACAACTTCCCTGGGCAACCTGTTCCAGTGACTCACCACCCTCACAGGAAAGAATTCCTTCCTAGTATCTAAGCTAAATCTCCCCTCTTTCAATTTAAAACCACTACCCCTTGTCCTGTCACTACATTCCCTGATAAAGAGTCCCTCCCCACCAGAGCAAAGCAAAACCAGTAACTCCCAGTTTATCACTGCTCCAGGATACAATAATAACCATGGCACTGGGAGGCACGAACAGTCCTGAGTGGTAGATTGGTACAACATAGCAAGAAATGGGAGGCTGAAGCCTGAAGCTGTGGTCAGGTCTAACTGCTTTTGCAAAGATTCCTGCGGATACCACTGTCCACAAGGCAAGTCACTCCATGGCTAACGCAAACAAGAAGCTCACCACTGGAAGCACTGGAAGACTTGATGCATTATTGCTTCAGAAGGTTTTCTGCTGGGATCTCTCAGTGAATCCCACAATAGGAAGCTGGCCAGTTTCACCAGAGAGCATGCCCGGAAGTAACTGCCCTGATTTAACTTAAATCCCTTTGTTACACACACTTACCTTAAACCTAGGCAATGCACAGGAAATGCTGAGGTGCTGCTGCAAGACCTTTTGCCCCACACAAGGTTGTGCGCCACGTCCACAACCCCTTGATCTAATCAAATTCTATGGAATGCCCTTTCTCCTTCTGTTTGTGAGGGATGTGCGCGTTATAAAACACACAGTAGGATTTTAAAGAATCCATATTGTTCAGACCACACAGTTCCATGCTATACTAATAAATACTGGAGAAGTTAAAATATTTTGACCTTCAGAAACGAGGAATGAGGAAAGGATTTTAGTGGAGCTGCAAAAGTTGCCAATATTTTGGATATTACTCAACCAAAATACTAAACTCTCTAGACATAAAAAGCTGTTTTCTTCACGAGGCTTGCACAGCTTGCACAAAAGCTCTTTACCAACCCTGAAGTCCCAGCAGATACAGATTTATTGTATATCTTAACAAATTTTATACCAAGTTCAGATTTAAAGTACTCACCATCTGGGTCAGAAATCACGTCCAGAAGAGATTTATCCAGAGTGGATTTGCTCATTATTTTTTCCTCATATTCAAAGTACACATCCAGCTTTCGACTCTGTTTAAAAGTAAGTACTAGGGTTAACATCTTAACACTATGAAAGGATATTTATTTCCTCTTTAAAAAGGCATATAGTTTTAGTTATCAAGACTGTTTTTAAAAATTTATTTTGAAATAAATTATTAGTAAAAAAACCCTAATGCTTCCATTATAATACGCTTTTATTAACTCTTAGAAAATTGATGCTTCTGTAATTCTCATATTAAAAGAGAAAGTGCAAGTTAGGAAGGGATGTCTGACATGCAAATATTAAACTGGAAGAGGAGCTTTGTTTTCCACTGGTGTTGCCATAGCTGAAAACTACGTGCCATCAGACATAGTGTTACACTGTAATAGGAAAAATTAACATTCAAGTGAATATTATGTCAAGTTTATGCTGAACCTCAAGTCTCCCAGTCAAAAAGGCAATTACTCAATGCAGATACATGTGGGAAATTCCTAAATATACTAAGGCAGAATCCCAGAGAAAAGCAGGAAACTCTCATCTTGGGCTGGTACTGAAATAACTGCCTCAAATCAAAGGCTTGCAACATCTCACTCACACCAAAGATGGGGGACTCCATAATTAGGTTATCTTGCTAACACTGGAAAAGAAGTCTCGTTATACAATGACACGAGTAGATCAAGTTGTGAAAATCTTTTTTTAGGGAGGATGGCACAGGAACTGCACAAAATTAAGGAGGCAGAAGCTGTACGGGAGACATCCCGTGGGCATGCAAGGAGAGCACTGCAAGGCAGCCGCACAAACAGCCCAGCCTGGCGCGTCTCCACCGTCCTGTCATCAACCTACAATCTAGAGACAGAAAAGCGCATTCCAAAACTTATTTTTAAAACTTCTGTTACATCACAGATCACTAAAAGCATTTGAACATTAAAATGTACCATCACAACAAATGTTAAAACTACTCAGCTTACAAAACCTTTATATCCAGTAACTAAATCCTGGTGTTTGGACACATTTGACTACGTAGGGGCTCAGAGAGGAGACCGGCGCAGTGGATCTCCATCTCCTCGCCTTGGAAGTGTTTCAGCTCCACATCACTCCCGCTGGGAGACTGAAATGATACTGCCAGAGTGATGCAAGAGTCACTGGGGCTTTTATTGGGTTAAGAGTCAGGAAATTTTGTCTGATAATGCCGAGGGGTGCAAAGCTGCTCTGCCACCTTCTAACCCAGAGCAGTGGTGGTTGTAACGACAGAAACACAAAACCTTTGAAAGCTGGGTTTTCATATGGTTTTGAATCCTACTAGAAATAGTCCTGAGATCAAAAATAAGGAAATGGAATTTTTAAAATTTATTTCACACACTTCCAAAGAAAGGGAAAAAAGAAAAAAAAGAAAAAAAAAAAAAAGAAAATGTACTTCAGTACTTCTCCATCCTAAGGATATTAGGATATTTTACCTTCTGAGTATTACAAGTTCATCAAAAAAGAGTTGGAGATGAGAATACAAAATAAAAGGAGAGGTAAATCAGAAGAATATTTTAATATTGAAAGCCTTTGGCAATCAGCGTATGCAGGTAGCCACTTGCTTCCCAGTATTATTTATACAACACTTCTAGTTCTCATTCACTGACTACTGAACTCATTAGCATAGCAACTTAATTTAAAGCCTTTGTGGAAGCTTATACTTACAGCTTATAAAGTAAATTACCATGCAGTGTTCTCAAAAAATGACCAGATGCTACTTCTAGGGGCAGAAAGATGTCTTCTGTTATTTCTCGCAATGACTACAGCTACACATCAGGTGCATGAAGTGACCAAAAAAAACATTAAAGAGCCAGCTTTCAAGCTCTATTTATCCTGAGCTCATGTTAAGAGAGTAGCCACAGCCAAATTTTGGTAGTGATGCTACTGTAAAATCTTGGACTAATCCCGTATTTAGTCAAAAGTGATTATCAGTGCTTAAGCTATACTAGTTTAAAGTCTGAATAAAACTACCTACCGGCCTTCTTCCAAGGCCTTGCTTCAGATGGAATTTGCTTTCACTTGCTTTTTGTGTTTTAACTACGTTTGTATCTCCTTACACGGAGCTAAATTCAATGTTTTTAAGTTTAAAATATTCTTCCCAGACAAAAGGCATCCAACAAACAAGGATTGTCTTTAAATCTGGAAAATTCATCTTATGAAACTAAATATGTTATTGTTGAATTTGGCAATGCCCATATTATCTTAGCTGGTGATCTGTTTAAGACAAATTTACTTAGAAGGCATGTAAAAAAGTACAACATTAAAAAAAAATACTAATTCAAGGTATTTGTTTACAGATCAAATTTTAAATAGAAGTATATAATTCAAACATAAGATACTTTCAACTGAAAGAAGAGATTTACAGTCGTTAACTTATTTGGAGCACAAACTAGATAAAATTCTTCTCAGCTCTCTTGCAACTTTATGACTGTTTGGCTAAGACCACAAAAGAAAACAGAGTATCTGCAGTAAAGAAAACCCACTGGTTGCATATATTTGCTTTCCTTTGAGCCTAAACTGAAATATTAATGGTCCACGTACACTCATTCACTTCAAAAATTTTGGATGATTATTTTTTAAATGTGAACTTAGAGCTCTTTGGGAAAAAACAAACAAACAAACAAACTGAAAATCCTAAAACTTCAGATCCTTTATTTCTATCCGCAACAGGGAAATCAGAGGGAAGCAGCAATATAAAATTTTCAATACTCTCTTCTTGATGTGACATAAACACAAAATAAAGAAATGGATCAACGTGGTTAGTCTACTTAGCTGCTTCTTCACTAGGTAACTACCCAGGTTACTAACAAAGATGCCAAATACGGCAGTATTTTTCTTATACTGGTTTGCTAGGAATTAGACAGACACCTAATCAAATTTCAGGTGGATTACTGAATAGCCTTAAACACTACTAGTTACCTTTTGACAGATTTCCCAGATATGCCACATCAATGAGACAGTAATTTCCGAAGAGCCAACTTGTCTATGAAGTGCTGATAAGAAGCAGATGTCCCATTTAATTTAAGAAAGTGCAATTTTGTTCGCTCAGTGGCAAACTCACAGACATGCCAAGAGGAAAAGCTGGGGAATGGGAGCTAAACAATCCTGCAGGGTCAATAAAAAAAGACAGCAAGGTTCTTACGGGTGCCAAACTGGCAAGCAAATTGAAGAAAAATAATAATAAAAACCAATAGTAAGATCAAGATGCATTTACATTTGCAGTTATTCCCTTTCTGACTCCTGCTCCTGACTTCCTAATATGACATCTTACTCCACACCAACACCGTTCAGGAGACCTTTCTGGCTGCCAATTCAGGGACAGGATCTGTATTGCAGTTAAAGTGCGACACTTCAAGCTTGATTTGTCTATTTTTAAAAAGCATTTGTGAAAGCTTTCAACTTCACATTTTTAGAAACAGGCTGGCTGTAACCCAAAACTTATGTTAGGGAAAATTAGTGAAGTGCACGGGAATCTCTACCTGAGCACTGCACTCCAAAGCAAACACAAAATTTCTTTTTTAAGCAGAGAAGTAGAAGCAGGACCCACTGAAACCTCTTAGTGGGCCATTTTTGTAAGGACTTGTTGGGGACTCTCATATCGTCTTTACAGAAGTTCTTCCTTTTAGAGAGAGAGAGAACATGCAGAAGAGAAATGATATTTTTAAAGCAATTAGTGGGACAAATATCTCAAAGATACTGACCACAGCCCCCAGAATGAGTGAGGCTGGCCAGGGAATTACGATATGCTCCCACCAAGAGGAAGAGTAACTCTGGGAGAAGGCTGAAAGTGGCAGCTACAGCCAGTTTCCTTCAACTGAACTGTACAGAATGGTGCCAGAAAGGTCACTGTAACTGAACTCAGAAAAAGCTGTTGTTTACTGGAAAGTTACTCAATTATCAGTTCTGAACTACAGGAAAAGAGCCTGGACCACTGTGACATATATTCTTCACAAACACATACTGTTTCTGTTCACACGGTAAGACAAAAATGTGACCTCATTTCAAGCACAGCAGTTAAAATAGTGTAATTCCTTTACAAAATATTAATTTTATAATCTCGAAAGCTACTTGCAATCCCAAAAAATGGAGTCATTCAAAGTATCAGGCCTCAAGATCAAGCAAAATCAGAGACACATGGTAAGAAAATTATGTAGGAATTAAAAAAACAACCCTAAACCAAACAAATGTAAGTAATCAAGATAAAAAATAACCATAGAAACCTGCCACTTAAGTTCCTACATACAGAATTCCAGCAAGATGTTACCTAATTTACCCCCTCTCCAATTAATCATTTTAGAAAAGTGTATGTGTACGCCCATTTATATGATGTGATGTACCATACTCCAGTAATGCCAGTATTCCCATTAGAATGGCATGGCAAGATAAGCACTACCTGCAGCTCTAACGCAGCTGGGAAGCTCTCCCTAATTCTAGTCCTGGAGCCCTTATCTGTTGGGTTCTTCAGCCACTGGCTTCTTCCGAGGAAAAACAGTCAATGCAAAACAAGGATGTATTTGTTCTAAGCACTGACAATAAATCCTTGATTGTTCACTTCATGAAAAAAAGTGATGCATTCTTTCCATTATTTCACTAAACACTTAGATATGCCAGAAAACTGTCAGGACCCCTAAGTATGTGATTAATTTCTGGTTTCCTCTTGCTGTGTCTTAGAAAATGATCCAAAAGAATGTGGAAAGCAGCTGTAAACTGACCACTAAATTATGACCACAAGAAAAATCAAATTCACTTAGTATATCTAAACCAGGTCTAGTAGCATTCTTTGCACTGAAAAAACGCTCAAATACTTAATGCAGTAAAAAAACCCCACCATAATGGACAATGCAAACAATCTATTTTAAAGTATAAATGTGCTTCCAGAGTATTTTAGAAGCAAAAATAGAGTAACCTGGAAAAAAACACGATGTCTCACTAGCTCCTCACGACCTGGGCACTTGCCAAAATAATTCTCTTATCCTAATCCAGTTTTATTATTTAACTGCATTCACCACAGCCTCAAGGTGCTATAAGAGTTTCTTTAATAAGTACTGTCTGAGATATTGCCCTTTTTGGGAGTATTTTTGAGAATCCATTAGGTAACATAACATCCTGCACGTTAAAATCCCACAGCTTGAGATAGAAAGATACTTTTTGTAATACTGGAGAGTGAAAAGAGGGGAAAAAATGAACAGGACAAAGCAGTTTGAAGAAACTTTACATTCATTCAGGAAAAGGCTTTAGCGTAGGTAAATTACAACAGAAAAAAAAACGTGCTTCTGTGTTAGTTTGAGCTTAGGACAGTTTCCTAAGTATTTGGAGATGAAGGAGGCAATTCTTTCCAAATCAGAAGAAAATATGATAGTGATGCACCTATATATTGAAGACACTGCATGCCCATCTGTCTCTCTATCTTCTTTGACAGCTATACAATAAGAACATAAGGAGCCCGAGCCCTTTGCAATACCAGAATTAAGAATCATTTATGGAGAAATGGCTCTCAGCTCCTTGGGAACTTTCCAAGAGCAGGCTCCTTGCCAGAGGAGGGAGCGGAAGGGCTGGGAGGGTGCTGTCACACAAGGACCCTAAGGTAATTCCTGGTAATTCCTGCCACCTCCAGGTACAGAAAAGTGTGTCACTATCACCTGAGGGACAACGAACAAGTGCATCTAACTCCATTCCATCACCAAAACCTGGTGTTATTGCCATTCCACATCCTGCTCTGAAACCTGGCTTCCATCCAGCAAACAATATATAAAATACTACTGTTCTAGGCCTGCCATTACCATCTCAGTATCTTTCTTAGAAAAGTAAATTTATAGACAAGGCATCAAATAAAACATTGACGTCGTCAACTTCTATTTTTTTCCAGTGGTATTAATGTATTGCTTTTAAATTGCCAGATATGAAAACTGACATGCCTAATACTGCAAAAGCACATAAACCAGCCCCTACTGTAATGAGGCAAACATAGAGACATATTTGCATCCCTTCCCCAACTTTATAAGTATGTAAAATTAATTTATTCATTAAAATTCAAAATGAATCCTTTGTTCCTTTTTATACTTAGTTAAAAAAAAAAAATCAGTAGCAGTAATAACTGAGGACAGATCTTATGCGCTTTGCAAATGTAAAAGTTAGTGTCAAAACACATTACCTTCCATGAGTCACAAATAGCATGGGGTAAAATTTTTTAACTATTGATTTTCAGGGAGGCTTGGTGCTTGAATCACTTTCAAAACCAGAATTCCATTGTCTCTGAAAGCCCCATCTATAATTTCTGTTCTCATAATGTGAAAACAGATCCATCTGCCAAGTTATCCCAGCAGTAACCATGGTCTTTACTTGATACTGAAACTGCAAGTTCTGAGACAAGAGCAGCAGACTTGAACAGAAAGGAGGACAAGCGTCCTTCTGAAGTGCTTCAAATATGCACAAGACATCTAACACACACCCTGCTGGAAAGACCAGTTTAGCAACTTGCATCATAATTGCCACACCTCTGGGTATTTTTGTTGGTGAACAGTAAACAGTACCCTTCTGATAAACACATACAGGACAGAAAAATACTTATACCAGCGTCGTAACTTGCCATGACACATCTCTAAAGTAAATTAAACACTTCCATCATAAACTTGTTTTAGAAAGACTTCAACCCACAATAAGGCTGTGGCCATCATAAAAAAAAAAGAAAAAATAATCAGAGTATACTAGTAAATTCTGATAAGAAAAATTTAGTATGTTTACTTCAGTTTCCATGCAGAGGCATTCAATCTTCATTCCCTCTCACCCTTCAACACTAGGTAATGTTAGACAGAGATTTCTGTACAAGGTAGCACACTGAGAGGGCTCACTTTCCCACCTCACTTCACCTGCTCAAATTTATTTCTTGAGGTAAAGAACACACTGAGAGAAAACTGAAGCTAGAGAGCAATCATACCTTTATATGCTCCAAAACGGCTGTTGCAACATTTGTGTGAAGATCAATCAGCCTCTTCTTTTCCAGAAGTTCTGGAAGAGAGCTGAAGAGATTAAATACAAACTAACCTGCTGAGTTGCACAACTAGTTGAATTGTGTTGTATACAGCTGGTACAAAAATTTAGAGAATCGTAGAACAGTTTGGGCTGGAAGGGACCTTTAAAAATTATTAAAATCTAAAATTATAGAACACTGTAATTTTTTAGTTCCAATCCTACTAAGTATAGATGTAATGATTCTCATAAAAGAAGGACGTGATCCACACGTAATGTAGTAAAACAGGTTTTTACCTTGACTAGCACAGTATACACACCATGTGGGTAATTTAATATTCCTATTGAAAGCTTGTGGTCAACAACAGGTGTATGTCCTGCTTACCTAAACAAATAATCTACTAGAATTATGGCTTACATAAGCAACATTTAGTTCATGCCTGATACATATAGAAGTGTCAGTATCTGCCAATTAATAATAATCTGCCAAATAGTACCAAATAATGTCAAATAATTATCAAGTAATAATAATATCTGTCAAAGAAACACAGAACCTCTGGATGTCCCGGAATTTGTCAGAGGTGCTTCTGCACAGAGCACAATTCTCTATGCAGGATTCACAATTGATATCTTTTCTTTTGTGAAATGGGAAACTGAACGGTTAAGTCTACTTTGTAGAAAATCTGTTATTTAAGGTGTTGTGATCAACACGATTTTCACTGCAGGCACTTGGGCATCACCTGTATAAAAGACTGCTCAGGGTCTATACACTTTCACATCCAAAAACAACAGTCAACGTTTGAACAGTCAATGTCTTACTCAATTTAATAACAAGCTGATAAGAAGGCACTTAATGAAACTGACTGTGTCCCCCAAAGTACCATGAGGTTAAACAACCATACTTTCCTTCCTCCTTTAAGCACTTATAAAATACGTTATCTAAGATGATTGGCCGTTAAAGACCTTACAGCTCCAAGGTGATTAGTACTGCCTTTGGAAAAGACTGCATTTTAAAAAAAAGGAACAAACAAAAAAAAAGACAGGAGATCCTCTATGTTAAAATCTCTAGTTTTTAATTACTAATAGATGTTCCAAAGTTTTCTAGAAATTGTAAAGCCTAAGACAACTCTGAAGGTATGTTCTTCCTGCTAGCAGATGTTGGACAGCAAACCAGCAAAGCCTAGTTTAATTCTTCCAGCAGAAATTTGACTAAATGGAAGATCTTAATGATATTTGGACTTCTCAGCATAACCCTAAAGATTAAAGCTGAAACATAACTGTTATACATTTTTCTGAAGAGGGACAAGATTTTCCTTAATAATGCCAGATTACAGAAAACAGTACTATAGAGGCTAACCGAACAGAAAAACTTCCTGATGAAGCTCTAGTTGTATGATTTTAATTTGTTTTGCTATCAGTTTAAAGCTTTTGATGCTTGTCACTTTCATATCTTGTTGCCTTAATCTGAAAATCAGTATCTCAAGAAGCACAAAACTTTAAAACTTTGTAGGGGGAGCTTGGAAACATCTGCTCGCTCTTTTGTAACTGTCTGCTCCATGACACATCCTTTGTAATTCCAATCAAATTTTAACCAGGGTACAGCATACAAAGCAACTTTGGAAACTCACAGAGACAACAACCTAATGCAGACACATGCTGGATTTCACAGGAGACTGGGCACGTCACCCCATCTAGAATAATTATCGCTCCTTCCTCCTTCTGATTGGTGTCTTAGCAAAAGGCATCAAACTGAACATCTCCCTTCTCCAAAGCATCAGGGGAATGAAAAACAGATTTATAATGAGGAACAAGTTCAAATCTCAGACTTTCAGTGTCATCCATGGTGGCTTCGTCTCCAAAACCAGGAGACTAAATTTCCCATGCGGAGTTCTTAATGACTATGATCTTGCCAACAGATGTTACAGTAACTACATTAGTCAAGATGTAATTAATTACACACTGTGCAAAGCAAGCAGATGCTTCAGGAAGTGGATTTTGCTGATTTTTTTTTAAGGAAGGAATGCAGAGGTAGGTAGCTGGGTTTTTCTGGCAGAAGGCTGTAAGCAAACCGATGCTGAACTCGGGTTACTCAGCCTTCCTGAGGAAACACTCCAAAGCCACACGAACAGGGCTCACACACACATGCCCTGGAAGTTACATGTGCAAATACTTGTCTAGGACATTGCATTAAACTTTACCAGAATTATAAAGCATTTAAACTCTACTGTTGATCTAAATAGCCTACTTTTAAAGCTACTTATTTCAAAGGATATTAAAAGTGAAATGACAGAAAGAATTACAAATGGTTCCAAATTAATTAACAATAATGCATAATTGGCTACTTACCTGACAGCTGAAGTCAGCTTCGCTGTATTATCAGAAAGCATACTTATTGCTCCTTCATCCTCCCCTTCTATACCCTACGTTTTGGAAAGAGGAATAAAAATAGTCATATTAAATACAAAATTCGCACATGCAAATACAGTCAGTAAATTTAGAAACTATTTTCTCATAATGGTATTAACACCTGGATTGTGTTTTACAGTTATTATGGAAGTTACATAAATGCAACACCAATAAACACAAGAAATTGAACCTTTCCATGAAATACAGTACTTCTAGTCCTACTTTTAAGATTTTATTATGCCTAAAATTCAGCACATGCTGATAATTTTTGTGTGGGGGTTGACAGAGTGGGCTAAGCATCTCTACAAGTCTATTATGTTTTACATAAAGCACATACAGGTAATAAAACTTACCATGATACCTTTAAGTCTTTTGACTTCATCTTCTTGGGCTCTGTAGGACTCCAGCTCTTGTTGAACAGACTCAGCTACCTCTGGAAAAGGACTGATGCAATACTCTGCATTAGGCTCAGTTAAATCAACAAATTGAAACACTAGGACCAGACAGGTTGTGTGATCAAGATGATCATGAAAACATTTTCAAAAATGTCAATACACAAATGACACAGCAGTATCAACTCAGTGAAAATAATGACATCTTACTGGAGGTTTACTTAAGCTTTCTAAGATATATTCACTGCTTTCAAAATTTTTATATAATTTTGATAAGAACAATTCTGTGCTCTGTAACAAAAAGCTAATATACAATTAATTATGACAATTAATATTGACAATGATCATTCATTTAAAAAAAAAAAACACCAAAATTCAAAAATATTTTCAAAGAAGCTTAAAAATAGAACTACCACAATATGAACAATACTTAGAATTTATATTGACTAAATTAATATAAACTTTGTACCTATACAACTTACCTGCCCTTATGCTTTTGCCAGAATTTATCCGATGCGGTTAAATCATAGGACTTCTTATTTTTTTTCTTAGGTCTAGCACCTGCTGGAGAGCTTTCTGTTCCTGCTGATTCTTCCAAGTTAACTCTATTCAAATGGAAATCCTAAAAAAAAAAAAAAAAAAAAAAAAAAAAAAGGAATCTTATGAAAATATTTGGCAGTTTGTAATTATTTATTTTGTCTTTTATACTCAACCAATTCTAACACAGCTATTAGAATTTCCTAAGAGGGCAGGAAACAGTTCACTAACCAACTAGATAATAACATCAGCAATGTAAGAACTCCAACATAACTCACTCTTATTGAAAAAAACACCAAACAAAGCAACAAACGGTAAACAAAGACATCTGATTATCTCACATGCAAGCAATCTCCTGACACTGACCTCTGAACATTGCTTTCTGTATGGAAAATAAAATATTTAGCAATAACTGAGATCTAACACCTGACCCCAACTTTACAGTAACAAAAGTTTCTGTGTTGCAGACAAAAAAGGTTTCTAAGGGTGAATTTCACTTACACAACTACAGCAAATGTATCAAAGCTGCAAAGAAGCTCATGACCCCAGCAACGGGACTATCCACTGTGAGGACTATTTAGCTAAACCTTCACAGCTCTTTCCTTCTATTCTGAAACACTAGTGAAACAGTGAGTGCATGACAAAGCCACAGCTTGCAACAAAGCTGCTATTTCTCCGTACAGCTTTTCTTCTCCCACAGATGCATGAACCTAGAAACTACATCTTTTTGCTGGATGAGGCAGTTATGTCACATAATATGTTAGCACACTGCTCCCTGGACATCTTCTGCTTCTTTCCTCCCATTAATTTTGCCAAAGACAACTCTGCACCACACACATTCCCTCTGGTTTTCAACAAAGATTAACAAGTACCCCACTTGCTGACTTCATTCTAATCCTTTTCATAAACATTTAAAATTTCAAAGCTGCTCTTTGCTTGGCAAATAATGATAGAGAGTGTCAAATCTTCAATTATACAGAATCTGTCATTAATCTTTTAGAATAGATATTTTTTCCAGAAATAAAACTCCATTATGTTCATTACAGTACACAGAACTAGATCACTCTAAGTGAAATTGTCAAATAAAATTTTTAAATGTTTCTAGTTATCCCTTGGCAGAGTTCACACTTGAATGAAATACTTAATGAAATACTATCAATGATCCATGCAGAATAGCAACAAAACCAAGCAGCTACTCAGAGGAGGAAGCACACACAGTCAACGAGCACAAACCTTATCTTATAAGACATGCTTAATGTTTCAGAAAAAAAAAAAGTTTTTTTTTCAAATACATATGTTCAATAGAAACTTATAGGAAAAAAATCATTTGACAGGAAATTCAGCTATAATTTTTAATGCAGATCTATGTTTTGGCTCAATTTAACTCACAGGTGACCTGAGTTTCCAAGTTAGTTTTGGCATTTACAAGGAGCTTTACCAAAATTATTCTTATTCACCAGTGGTCCTTCTTTACCTCCCCATTTTTGGTTTATAAGGCTTTCTATGGATGCCTCCCATTTTTCTGTATCCACTCCTGAAATAGTAATCTCTTCATACAAGTCTGCTTATGTGTAGAAACACACCATTATCATCTTAACAGATGGAGCACACAACTTTGTGGCTCGGTTGAGCATTGCACAGAATTCCTGGACTACAGTAACTGAGAGCTTAAATGGAAAACAATTTAAAAGTACAGTTTATATAATCATCACCTTAGTTGCACTTTCAAGGTTACAATTTATGGCCTTTTAAATGACTACCATGGATAATTCACGAAATATTATGCTCAGTATGTGAAGAACCCGGCATGCTTGCCTTTAAGCAGAGTAGCTTGATTGGTTTTGAAATTAAACTTTTGCCTTTGACATGGAATCACGGGCCACCTGGTTACAATTTCACTAGACAAATTCATAATCCTATCAACTCAGTCAAGAATTAGATGCAACATTTAACAGGTTGTTCCAGAGAAACTACTGAAGCCTGATGCACTACAGATAAATATCCAAGGATCCTCAAATCATTCTTCTAGTGTTATTTCAATACCTCTCTACATTTGTAGCACTAGTTGTCCTCAGCTTCCACTACATCTTTGATCCCCCTGGATCCTGATGCACCAAAACCCTACCCCAGCACATGCCCGAGGCCACCGACATTGCCTTCCCTACCTGACAGCTGAGCAGGAGGCAAACACCTGGAGCTTCACAGGGGTTTACGACCTTGTAAGTGAGCATTTGCTGATTGGATGGCAGGTAACGAACTCAAGTGCCTGCAGACCTTGTGCAATATTATTTACACCTGTGAGCATTCTAATTCGAGTTTCTACACCTTGCCCTTTCACCGATTTTCAAACCTAAACCTGTAGAAATTCAGTACTTCTATTTGCAACTCTCTAGCCAGTTCAACAGGTATTGGAAAAAACCATATTTTTTTCATATACGCCTTTCCTAAAGAAACCAGGCCAAAAATTGTTTATTTGTAAAAAGAACCCTTAAGTTTAAGAGGAAGAGACTTTTCATAAAGAATGAATTACACAAAACAGAATTTAAAAGTGTCCTAAAACATCCCATTGGTGCTAAAATATTTTCATCATACCTATGCAAGTTTCTGGACAACACTATATGTACAAGTATACAGTTCACAACTAACTTTGTATACAAACACATATGTGCATATATGCATATTTTCTATATTCCTCCAACAGTCTCAATAATAAACCCAAAATATTTCTCAAAGCTAGACACTGAAATGATTTACTTGGCTAGCTCCACAGTATTAAAAAGCCTCCAGATAGTAATTATTCTTTCTCATATTATCTTCTATGATTTGCTCAGTAACTGTATGTGAAATACATAAATCTTAGGTAAATAGTATTTACTTTCATTCCAGTACATTTCTTCTACTGCTTTTATAAAAGAAACTTGAGGAAATACAAGTGGTTTAAGGCTATCTGAATTTCGAAAAACGTATTAAAAAGATCTATTTTAGATTCCTCACAGTAAGGTCAGATACCACTTGGTATCTCTATATTGAACACCTACACCACCCTGTGGAGAAAACCAGAAATATGTATTTTTAGAAATTCAAACATACTAAAATCGCTTTAAAAACTCATTAAAAGCATTTATTTTCCAAACCTTAATTGCACTTAATGGAGTTTGGAGTTTACATAACATAGAAGATCATGAACTACCAAAGAAAAAGCAAGGATTGCTGAATTACCCCTCTTTTAATATCAAGATTTCAACTTTTTAACCATTTTAGAAGTTATTGCTAAATAAGCTGTCTACAGAAAATGTTCGAAGTTGCTTTTTACAAAATAAAACAGACAAAACAGATTTTGGATTAAGAGAGAATCTGGTATTAAGTTTAATAGCAAACTGAGTGAAAAAATAGTTTTGGTAACAAAATCAGATTTATTCTTACCAGAACATCATGCACTAAAGCTTGGTATGTCCAAGAATGATGTAGAGGAGTTGCTAAATCTATGTTTCTGTCAACAAGCACTAATAGAGGCCTTTGGAAGCTGAAAAGATGACACTGTATTAGTATTGCTTTAAACATGTTTAGAACAGTCATCCTGAGTGATACAAGCCCCCCTCTACATCGTATTTCACATTAAAAACCAAACTGCCTCCTGCAGAGCACCTCCAGCCTTCCCCAAAGCATCTGGGGCCAATCACTGCAAGAAACTCCATGAATCACTGTCTTAGTAATGATAAAACATTTAGTTTATTTTGTAGTAAGTGAAATTATCAATGTATAAATATTGACCAGAAGTCAAAACACTAACTGGATTTTTAGGTATTAACTAATATCTCGTTGTGTGGATACACATTTGAGTTCCAAACAACTCTTCGAGTGGTTAGTATTTGACCTTAATCCCCATTATGAACCTCAAATATAAAATATCTCTCTCAAGGGCTTTTAATTTAGTTTTTCCCTTCTATATGATGTCTATAAAGAAAAAAAATACGGACCTCTGAGATGCACTGGGGTAATTCAATTTTTGGAAAAAGAATGCAAAGAGGCCAAAATCTATTGGTTTATGGCAATATGAAAAATTTATAGTGGAGACAGGAAGGCTGTGAATTGAAAGAACATTATTGCAACCATTTCCCTCAAGCACATTAACTCTACAGTAAATGTGATGGCTAAATTACAGCATATTTGAACAGAGTAAAAGTATGTTAATTCCATGCTCTTTATCTCCTCGCAGTATTTCCATGTAGACGTATAATCTCAGAAGCCTTAATCACCTGATTCTGAAAACCAAACTAAAGATCTGAAGCCATTTAACTGGTTAAAGGTTCCCATGTTTCCCTTTCCTTGCATTTTGATTTTCTGAGGGTAACCATACTATCAGGAAAACAAGCAACTCATCTGAAGGAAAAACAGTGATTACAATTCAGTTCCCACGAAAATGAGAGAACTGGCATTTCACAGCTATTCTCTCTCCTAATATCTTTCAATCTCATCCTATTTTGCCACCCTTGATGGTTTTTTCTGCTTTTTATTCTGGTTCTGCTCTTAATTTCAGATAAAAATATGATGACTATTTTATATCCAGTTAGGAGATCATAACTATTTCCTTCAGCTACAGACCTCCTGATACATCTCCTCACCTTTTCATGTACAGTGCAAACTCCTGTAACAGACATTCCCAAGGCAGCCTGTGGGGCTGGCTGGGGACATTCAGGGCAGACAGGCATCCACAATGTCTTTTCTCACCCCTCTTTCCCTTCAAAGGATTCAAAGGGTCATGACTTAACAGTCCTTAACTACCTAATTATCCTTAAGCAGTCCTCCTCTGGTAGATATAGGGATCAGTTGAGAAACACTTGCTTTTGATATAACTACAGCTGATAACAGTGCTCACAAGTGAGAAAATAGGTATTTCTTTCTTTTCAAGGGACTAGAGGTTGCTAACAGACACAGCCAGCCAGCCCACTCCATACTGTAGTCCTGTGTTTCTGCAGGAGCTTGGTTCTTGCTGGGTTTAGAGGGTGAACAAAATTACCTGATTCATTAAATAATTTTTGTCTCACTGTCCTAAGATTACACACTTATTAGCTGTGAAAGTTATCAAACTGGTTATGCTAAGAGATTGGAAAACTGCCTTAAAAGTAAATAATTTTTTTTAATATAGAACTCGAACCAAATTCTTGTAGACACAGTTTTCAGTACCATCATGACTTATCCTAATGAAGTATTTCATACAACTGAAACACAAAAAATAAAAATACATAGTTACTACTAACACTGTACCTGAACTGGCCAGCTCCAAGTGTATCACCTGTAAAAAGACTGTTTCTGGCATCTCTTAGATTCTCTCTGAGCTTCTTATCTAATTTCTGTGTGTGAGGAAAAACAAAACAGCTTTTAACAAACCAATGGTTTCCTAAACTTTTCATGTGGTCAACATTTTAAGATTTATTGTGCTATTTTGTAGTTTATAAATGCCTTAGCTGCAGGAAGCCTAGGTCCACTGCACATGGGGAAGAGAGAAATCTCTTCCTTGTATTTTCTCCCTCAAGCCTTTATATCTATAACCAGGACTACAAAAATGGTTTTTCCTTTAGGTTCACTAATCTTCTCCCAATTAGCACCCTCTCCCTAAACATGCAAATAGAAAATACAAGCAGGAAGCACCAAGAGGGAACCACAGCAGAGGCAGACAATGCCACGTTAGGCGTTTCCTAAAGCTGAGACTGCCCTCAGCATGACAGGATGCACGCTGAATGCCAGGGTTTAATTAGTAGTAAGGCTTCACTGGCAAAGAAAGATGTGAGGAATACGCAAGAAATGAGGCACAGTGACTCCTAATGGAGACAGTGCTGTAGAAATTTTTAATTGTGATTTAGTTTGGTAACTTCATCCCTACTTGACGATCAAGTTCAATGTCAGTTTACTTTGATATTGTAAAACTGCCTTGCACTTACGGGGTTTCCCAGTAAGATAGCTAAATATTTCTTAATAAGACACACAGAAAAACCCAGGCCAGACAGCCACCTTTTAAACTGTGTAGATATAACTTAATGATTGTAATTATAGCGCCTGTCAGATAATCTTGATAAACTCCAGATTAGGAATGATTATTCATGTTTAAAGTTTCTCATCAGCTGATTTCATAATATTACAATTTCTAGAGACAAATTCCATGAAATCATAAAGGAAAACCGGTGTATCTCCTTTCCGGTTTTATTTCCTTCATAAGGAAAAGGATACAATGACACTAAATGTCTGCCTAGCATTGAGAAAAGTAAACTAGCTGTTAAAAAAGTTTTGAAACAATGATATTTGTTCAGAAAATAGTTTCTTACCACTGCCACCATTTCAGCTGCAGTTCCTCTTGAGCATCTGATTATAGGTATAGCTCCTAATAAAAAATATATTGACTTCTACTTGCATTATAATTTTCAGATTATAAATTAATGTATTTTTCATAAAACAAATTTTTAGTAACATTCTGAAATGGAATTTTTCAAATGGACAATACAAACATATATTAAATTTCTCTCTTGCAATTTTTATCTATGAAACAAAAAATACAGTATAGAAATATTAAATAAAGTTTTACAAAATTTAAATTAATATCTCATACAGGAATTTATATGAAGTAAAGTGTAGGCAAGAAAGGCAGCTAATGTACTGTGGGGGGGACAAACTGTCTCATACAGAAGCATTAAAACGTAGTTTCAAAGGTTAGAAGTCCCTTGAAAGCCATAATATTAAGTACTGTAACACCACTGCCACCACAATGTATCAGTTATAACTCACTGCAGGGTAATGTTATTTTCAAAAACACATTTTCCATTGGCTTTCAGGTTTCAAAATCATAAGCTACTGTTTCTCACTTATCTATATAAATATGAAAATTCCAATAACATAGAGTTTAAGTGACTGAGTAAAAGAGATGTAATTTGCATCACACTAACACTTGAAAGAACTCAGTATGTCCAAGGGAATGTCTCTTGAACAGACTGCCCCTTGGTGATTCCCAGCTTTCCTTGTAGGAATGCTAACTCAGATTGACTGATTTCAGTGACAACATAAATTAAATGTCAGCACTATGAAAAAATGTATGAGCTAAGAATCAAGACAATTCACAATAAAATAAATAAATTTCATATATCTGCCTACTCCTTGAGCTATTTCAGTTAGATCTGTGCAGGGTTTGTGTGAGGGTTTTGTTTGGGTTTTTTTTTCTGTAGGTTTTGGTGGGGTTTTTTTAAGAGCTACAAATCCAAACTCAAAGCACTATTGATCTTCGTTGCAAACTAAGATCTTGTAAAAACAGTGAATCCAAACCTTTGCATCTCAGTATTCTTCTCCCATTGACACTGAAGACTAAGATTCAATTCCAATGTCGGACAGCCTTTATTGCCTTTTGCAGATGTATAGCAATAATTTCAGCAAGACCATTAACTCATCCTGCAAACTATTAAGATTTCTGTCACAGATCTAATTCTGCCTTTAATTTGCTATATGATATCATTAAACTGCTTATCTCATTGAATATGGATCTATTCTAAAAGGAAAACATATGGAAAACACTAGAACGCTAGAATTTGAAAACTTACCAAGTGTGACAAAAAAACAGAAGAGACTATCAACAATAGTGTCCATTATAGTTTCCATTTCTGTGTCCGTTATATCTGGTCGGTTAATGGCTAAAACAGGGTGGAAAAGAGTTAAGAATAGGGTTAAAGAAGTTTATGCCACTTTTGTACCAAGAAAGTGATCCTCCCCTTACCTAATGGCTGTTAATGGCCAACAGCTTTTGTTGAAGAAGAGATCAAAACGTGAAATGCCCTTCTTAGCACATCCATTAGTTTCTTCTCCCCCTCCCCCCATTTTTTTTTTTTTCCTTTTTTTTGAGCAAAAGAATGGGAGAACTTAATTATTGCTTACTGTATAAGGTCAAACATGACACCGTTTTTTCCAATTATCTCTGACAATGCATACTGTAATTTCTTGATTACATTACTAAAAATCTCCTAGAAAACCATGTTACAGAACAGAAATGCCCATCCACTTGGAAACCATTTTCGGATATAAAATCCTCAAGAATTAATTGTGTAATTTAAAGATAATTCCTGTCTGAGGTTATCTATATTTAAAGATTCTAAATCCTACCTCTTTTATAGGAGATTCTTTTTCTTTTTTCCTTTTAAAAATTAATTTGCTGTGAGTCTCTAGGTTAGGGATAATTCCCAAGTTCTAAAACATTTCACACTACAGATATAAAGATTTCCCTCACTTATTTAGGTCAGAACAAGAGACACATAGCAACATTTCTCTTAAATAATTAACACTGACAAGAATATAATAGCCAACAGGAAACATCAAACCTAATTTTATCACAGGTCTCAAGTCAAGCACTACCTCAGGATTCATGTCATAAATCCCATCCTCCTTGGTTTTATTTTACCTTTAAAAATTTCTCACATAATTACTTATACTCTTTCTTCAAAAATGAACTTCAAAGCTCAGAACATTAATAAGCCTTCCATCCCAAATTTATGCATGGCCAGCCATAATCATTCTCTAACTTTAAATATTTGGTTTTTTTTCCCAGCTTTTGTCCTCTAAGAACTTTAGAGAGATGGATTATTTTAGCAATTTCTATCAGTAGACATAGTAAGTCAAACTTTTCACTAGGCTGCTAGGATGACAGCAGCAATAGAAGTGCCCCCTTTCTCCCCCCCAGTGTTTTTTTTATTCTGAGTTCAAGTTTCTGAACTATCAGCACCAAAAAAGGCAGACTGCTCCCAATATCTATTTTTCTGTAATGACAAAGCTTTGAAATTAGCTCGGGCTATCATTCTGTATTTATCTCCAACTAATGGTCTCCCTTGCCTTTCTCAAATTTAAAATTTAATTTCCTCCCTATTATTAAGGTACTCATTTATGATGTTGCAGTAATCTGCATATTGTCAGTGCCTTCTAATTTTGTGTAACACGCACATTTTATGAGCACATTCTTTTATTTTTTGTACCATAGCAATCAACACAAATATTCAATATTACTGCTCCTTAGGTCAACCTTTGAGAAACTCCACTAATAACGTTTCAGCAAAATGTTCTGTCACGTATTCTCTATATTCCACTCTCTGTGCTGTAACAAGCTTTTTTGGGATGCATCTATTACATAAAACTTAGGTCTCCTACATTTTCTTGTTTTACAAAATTGATCCAAATTTGATGAAGAAGAACTCAAATAGCATCAAAAAGGATGCCAGGAACATCGACTCTATACCACTATTACCCATTTACTCTTCCTTCTACACAGTCGTAGAAAAACAGAACCAGAGGGGGCCCAAGGGATTATCTAGTCAGCCCCCTTGCCCAAAGAGGAGTTAAACCTATTTGTTCTTGGGACTAAACCAATTCCCAAAGCCTCTCAGTCATGAAAGTGCCATAATGTTTATAGGTAATCTGTTCTAATATTTCACTATCTTTAATGTTAGAAAGTGCTCCTAATATCTGGCTAGAAACTTTCTTGTTGCAATTTAAGCTCATCACTTCTTGTCCATTACTACATGGACAGAGAGAATGTGTTATCTCCTTTCTGACTGTGAGAGCCTTTTACATAATTGAAGAACGTTATCATGCTTCTCTGTCCCAACATTACCCCTCTGTAAATGCAGTCATACAGCCAGGAAATCAGAAAACTGAAAATTAGCCTTTTTTGTTATATTTGTTCTTATTTCACCCACGCTCTCTGTGCATGGCCACACATGGCAGTGCTGATCAAGAACAGCAGCCCCCTTTCATCACCGTCAGATTCACATTGACTTACGTAGCTTATGAAACTATACACAAACTGGCAGTTTCCTGCTAGAGTTACTCTCCAAAGGCAAAAAAGATGACTTTTTCTTTGGCTCTGCACTCCTACTGCCTGCCCGTGTCGGATCCAGAGCTCACACAGCAGGGAGGATCTGCCCAGGGCTCTGATGGAGAACTAACCACTTGCTATGGGAGATTAGATTTCTGTTCGATCAACTTTTGGAAACAGCCCACTTCTAGACTGGGTTAAACATAGTGTGAAACCATGTGTCGTGTGGCAAATTTCAGCAGCCCAAGAGAGGAAACCAGACCACACAGAAACCAAGGGGTGCAAAACAGCAAAACATTTTCAGTCATTTTAATTCAAATTCCTTGTTAGCTAGCAGGAACGTTATGAGAACTGGTCAAGTATCCTTACACACACACACAAACGCATCACAAAACAATTACTAAAACTCCTAAAAGCAGTTTTAGTAAAAAAAGTTTGCTTTTCAAACAAAAATGCCCTTCATTCTGACAACAGAATCAATCCCCAGGGTGACAGAACTCAGTATTATGGATGCAGTTTTAAAGAAAGGTAATGAATTTAGAAATTGGGCAAAAGAGGAGAAAAATCTCACTGTTAAATGTTAGACATAGGGAGACTTCTCATCTCCACTTGGTCACTAGCGAGTATTCAGTGCACCCAAATAAACCAGGAATTAACTGTGTGACACTGTGTAGACACTGTGACTACACTAAAGTAACGAGGAGCTGCTGCTAAAAAAGGGCTGTCTCGCCTCTGACATACACACTTCTGCCGCTTCCCTCGCACTGGGTTTGTAGATCACACACGTGAGCTGGTATTTTCTGTGGAATGAGTCAACTGAATAAACACTCTGCAGCTCCAAAATTACCTATTCTGATGTAAAAGGAGAAGATGAGGAAACTGCAGCAGGGGCAGCAAGATGACCCACCCTGTAATAGCTAGCCATTTGAGTAAGAGGGGCAGGAGAGGCAGAGTGATCATCCTCTATTGATTTAGCATCTTGAATGGGTCAGGGGAGTGCAAAAATCAGATCAAAGGAGGGAGGAAAACCATGTGTGCAATTATGACAACAAGTATATATATATCGACTTGAGCTGCCGCAGCACCATAGCTGTAGAGGTAACTGACTAAGGCAGCCACTCGGTTTTCCTGCTAGGTTCCAAAACAGCTCCAACAGAAGTCCCAAGAAAAGAAAAAAACATTTCCACGAGGCTGACTTCATTTCTCAGAGGCAACTCTGAGACTTCATGATGAAGCAGACGTGCTGGCTCACACGCTCACAGAAGCAATCAGCATTTCTAATTTTCTAGAATGCCCTTTCCCAGATTCTTCTCTGCGCCACTCCAGCCCCTGTCCCTAACCATCTCTCCTTGCACACCCCTCATGTCCCCACATCTTGAATAAGAAAAGCAGGAACCTGCTCACTGTCTAGAAGATACAAGAAACCGTAGCAATTAAAGTCACCTCTCTTGCTTTGCAGTCCTTACGGGAACTTTCCAACTGACTGTTCACACAGAAACAAAACACTCATAATCCCCTCTGCAGTTCTGAAGGAATGAAGTGTTTTGTGGTGCGTAAACACCGCAGTCACCCACACTATCTACATGTGCAAACAATACAAACATTTTCCTATATTAAATAAAATCACAGAATGGTTTGGGTTGGAAGGGACCTTAAAGATCATCTAGTTCCAGCCCCCCTCCCACCAGACCAGGTTACTCATTATTCCATGTATAAAAAGACCTATTATCCATGTATGTCTATACTGCAGTTTTGCTTTACTAAATTTGTTATTTAAAAATACATATTTTTCAGTATTGCAATAGCCATCTAGTAAAGATGCTAAAGTTAATATCTAAGAACTGCTTCCTTCATGACTACACATCTAACAGATTATCCTTAATTCTGAGCAGATCAAAGCAAAATAATATTATTGCTTGGTATTAGCTACAACTTCAAAAGTAAATTTCAACTTTAGACACTCCAGTATGAATTTTACACAAATTTTACTTACCACGGTAAGAAACAAGTTCTTTGTTTTGGTTACACAATACGAACATGTCATCTTCTAAAGTAATAAAATTAAGATATTGATCAAACACCTAGAAATCAAGGAATAATAGTCAGAACAGCCGAGAGTGAAGCATAAAAAAACCCCCAAACCTATCTCTGATTTGTTGCTACTTCTTTTTGAACCTTTTACAAAACCACCTACTCAATAAAACATACCTGTACGTTCAGGAAAAAAAATTAAACTTCTCTATAGCATAAACTGTTAATGGCACATCGCAACAGAAAAATAGATTTAAGAAAGTTAGTTCACAGTGCTGCACTAATTTACTCTTGCTGAAGACTTAAGGCTTAAACAATACTAGTAGTTTTCATTTAATTTCACAAGTTTCTTTCTCTCTCCAGTAGTACTCCCTAACAGGAGTGAGAAAAAAAGTGAAAATATTTAAGTACATATGAAAATAATTAGTTAATAATTTGCAGGTTTTGGTACAGGCACTCAACACAAATAAGAAGGTACATACCTGATACCTCTCTATAAATCATAAGGGTATAGGATTGTACTGAATAACAATGTGTACGTATGATACACCCACCTATGAAGTATGCTGACTATTTAAAATGACAACTGCACTCATACCGCACTTTTTGAGTATTTCCAAGCTAAAATCCCCTCCCCGTTACATATGTAACAGAGGTACTCTGTTGAGCTGACGAGATAGAGAATATTCTGAAACCACTGTATTTCCCCTTATCATTGAGCACAAGGTCTCGGGCTTTTGACTAAGCCGAAGCACAGTACTGAGCTGCATCACTGAGATGACTGTAGATTTGCTCTTTTCCCCCCAGTAAATCTAAGCCTTGCACTGAACCTAGCTAAACATCTGTTTTGCTCATGATTCAGTCAGAAAAGCTGTGTATGGTGCAGAAGTGGCCATGTAAGAATGCAATAACACCTGTAATGGCAGCATCTTTAACATCAGAGACAGAGATTTTCTTACCTTTGCCACTTGAGTTACTGCATTAGCACCTATGGCAGCATTTGCAATATCTTCCAGTTTACTTCTCGAAATGGCGGAAATAAAGTTTAAATAGTAAGATTCATAAAGCTGGTTTCGAAGGTCCTAAAAGGAAGGAAAACGACAACTTTTTCCCGAATAAGTACTAATATATTTCTGACCAATTAAAAAACATTTTTACTTTTACTATGTGATGTTCCAATTATCCAGTCAAACTATATTTTTGGAATGTTCCTACAGCCCTGTAAGCAGTGTATTGACTACATAACCAGATATAACTAACCTAACGCACAACTGCAAAAATCAGGAAATGGAATTTAAGCTATTAGATAGTTACTACTACTTCACATCTTACCACTGACCAAAAGCACCCTTTGCTCTTCTTCCTACCTTTTGAGAAGATGTCATTCCTCCCAGAGAATGTGAAAAACTGAGCTTATCCTAGTCCAACCCCCCCAGCTCAAAGCAGAGTCAAACAGAGCAAGTGGCTCAGGATTGTGTCCAGCTGAGGTTTGAACGTCACCGAGAATATCCTCCACAAACTCTCCAGCCATTTTCCAGCATTCAGACACTCTCAATAACATAGCTTGTTTCTTATCTTTAAATGGAACTACCTATATTTTGATTTGTGCCCCCTGCCTCTTGTCTTTTCAGTCCCCAAGCTCTCGCTCTCCAAAACACAGAAGACACATTTACCCTTCTATTTTCTGGGAAATCAAAGTTTGGCATGTAAAAATTTGGGGAAATATTTTTTACAACAAGTGTGTGCTAATATATAAAAAAAGCAATGGTGTTCAGACACAACCAAGAACTAGATACAGAACGGTCACACTCCGGTGAGTGCAGGATTACTTCACACACTTTTCCTCTGTTGGGTCCACTCATTTGAAACATTCAGCATGCAAGTTACCTGGCACATTCTGTCAATATTTTCTTCTGTTGGCATTACGAAGTAAACGGCTGGAACATCTGGAATAGCATCCCGATCCGAATGCAAAAGCCTGAAAGGCAGAAAAAGTACATCTCTAATGTGTTCCTCCTCTGATTCGTGTAAAATTATATAAATTAAAGAAATTATTTATTTCTACAGCCACATTTAATCTCCTAAAATGTATCCCTAGATTTAGCCAGATTTTAGCAAGAACAAAACATGAAAAAATAGCAAAATTGCATTTGTATAATTTTTGGCTGAATATATTAATAGAGGTCTCCATGGTTTATTCAAAGCTTGAGAAAAGACTCACAAATCTTTAAAAATAAATTAATCCATTCAGAGGAAGGTAAAATACTCCATCCACAAGGTACATATACCAATTATTAATTGTTGACATAACAAAGAAACTGCATCTCTCATACTATTAAACTTGCCTCTCCTCATTAAAACAAAGACAGGTGAGGTGCTTACACATTTCCGCTGATCTGTTAACTTGTTAAACTGTGTTTCCATTTTTAGCCTTCACTTAGTAAAAGTTAATAAACTTTTGAAAAAAAAATAAATGCATGTTCAAAGATCCTCCATGACCACTACTACAGCTAAGGAATGACAATGAACTAAATAAATGTGATCTGGAGAAAGAGAAATCTCTTAAAGTAATACCTAAAGATCCCATATCTTTGACAGGAGAGTTAAAATCTATGTGTAAAAACACAAGCAGAGAATATGCCAAAATAATTTAAATATATACGAATACAGAGGGAATTGTACAGAGAGACTCCCCGAAACACCTACTTGATAATTTTTATTTTTGATCAGGGGCCTCCTTACTGAGTAAGAAATCCTACTGAAAAGTGTTTGGAATTACCTTTCCACTCCCTGATTCTGAATAATACCACCTGATTTTAGAAACAAGACAGGGTATAGTCTTTATTTTAGTAGTTATTAATAAAATTATTTTCAATGTTTTGCTTGTGCTTTTGGGGAAATACTAAATTAAGTTCTTTTTAGCAAATTAAAAAAAAATCCTGATTATTTTACTTACAGATGCAAAGTGATTCCCATATCTCTCAGCTCTTTCACTGACAGCAAAGGTGAGATTATATCTTGGCCAAACCTGTCATAAATGAGAACCTGAAAAAGATATACATCTTTTTACAAAGTGGTGTAAAAAGTGGATACAGTAGAAAACAAGATACAGTGGGTACAGGAATTGAGGTTTAAGGATCTACTGCCCTAACCCTGAAAAGTGCTAAACATTTACCAATTTATAACACATCACTAATTTGTCATGGACTTCCATTTGTGCTTACTAATACAGGAAAAAAAAAATGAATTAAAAGAAACTCAATGATAAAGGGAAATAAATTCATCACTTCCATTGCCTGAAAAGTGTCAGTAAAACAGGAATCTGCTGTCAGAAATTTGTTATTCTAAGTGCAGAATTTCTCTGACTGCTTTTGGGAGGAAACAAAAAGAGAAGCAGAGAGGAAAAAATGGAACTAGCAAAAAAAAAAGAAAAGACAACAGAATGGATGAAAAGACAGAATATATGCTTTGTAGTAGCAAAAACTTTTACACAAATTACTTCTTAAAGCTGATAAAGGTAGCTGGAGCTCAGCTTGTTCTGAAGTTAAGGCTATCATTAGTTCTTCCCTTTCTATGAGTTCCTTTCTGACTCTGTGGGTTCACCTGTAAAGGATCATGTAAGTTTCTGCCAAAGGTATCAATGAGATGGAAGTATATTTCAAAAATATCCTGGGTTGCTCATTAAAATATTGCCTAAAGAATCAGTCATTGGGTTTTCAAGCAGCCAATATCTCAAATAGATATTTTTCTTAACAATTCTGCTATTCAATTCTGTGTATTCGTAACACACAGGAAAACTATTTTCTACAAGTTAAGAACACAGAGAAGATACTCGATTTAGTGACAATTTGAAAATCTGAACTTTTTTGAACACTATAAAATTATCCTATTCCTGTTCAAATAGTTCTTACCTTCCATACTGGTTCTCCTGTGCTGTTTTTAACGGGAGGAACATTGAAGTTCAGCATACGTTTCAAAGCCACTGGAAAATAAAGCAGAATAGTGCTTTACTCTCTTTAGCCTTCAACAACAGAGATTAAACACATTACCAGGATTTTGTTATACATTTCATTTGAGAGGAAAACCATCATAAAATATAAATGCAACAAGTCACATTTTTATTATTTTTGTGAAGCTTTGACTGACAAGTGGCACATGTCAGCTAGAAAGGAACTCCATGATCCTTAAGGTCCCTTCCAACCTGAACTATTCAGTGATTCTATGAATTTATGGAAGAAATCACAAAAGGAAAAGAAGTCGTCCCAAAACACGAAGAAAGAATCTCTCTCCTTAGTTACACGGGCTATATTCTGTCGCAGTTTGCCTTAAAAACAATTCCAGTATCTTCCTGAAGGTGCATTCTGTACAGTAGGAACTAGTTTGCTTTACTTCCCTGATCTGCTTTTCCTACCCCACACAACAACAGTATACACACAAGCAAAAAGCAAAAAATCCCTCTTCACCTGACTAACACTTATACATATGTCGAAACATTTTGAGAACTCACAGGAAGAAACTGCTGTTTTAAGGGGTGCAAATATACCCCTCATTCACAGCAGGAAAACTCCTAGAAACAGGAATGAGCTTTCCTTTAACTTCACATTCAACATAGAAACCCTGTAGATTCCTTCATCTACCTCTAACTTATTAAGTAAGGAGTCTTTCCTCATTTACCTGATTAAACAACACACCATGTGCTGTTAGAATCATAGAATGGTCTGGGCCAGAAGGGCCCTCCAAAGGTCATCTAGTCCGACCCCCCCGCAGTCAGCAGGGACACCCCCAACTAGACCAGGTTGCCCAGGGCCTCGATGGGCCTCACCTTGAATATCTCCAGGGAAGGGGCCTCAACCACCTCCCTGGGAAACCTGTTTCAGTTTTTCACCACCCTCACAGTAAAGAACTTGTTCATAATCTCCAATCTAAATCTGCTCTTCTCTAGCTTAAAGCCATTGCCCCTCATCCTGTCGCTACAGGCCGTTGTAAACAGGCTCTCCCCGGCCTTCCTGTAGGCCCCCCTCAGGGGCTGAAGGGCTGCTATTAGGTCTCCCCGGAGCCTCCTCTTCTCCAGGCTGAACAACCCCAGCTCCCTCAGCCTGTCCTCGTAGCAGAGGTGCTCCAATCCCCTGATCATTTTAGTGGCCCTCCTCTGGACCCGCTCCATCAGGTCCATGTCCTTCCTATACTGAGGGCTCCAGACCCGCACACAATACTCCAGGTGAGGTCTCACCAGAGCAGAGTAAAGCAGAAGAATCACCTCTCTGGACCTGCTGGCAATGTATCTTTTAATGCAGCCCAGGATGTGACTGGCCTTCTGGGCTGCAAGTGCACACTGTCTGCTCATGTCCAGCTTCTCATCCGCCAGCACCCCCAAGTCCCTTTCCTCAGGGCTGCTTTCTAATACCTCATACCCTAGTCTGTATCGATAGTGAGGATTGTTCCGGCCCAGGTGCAGAACCCTGCACTTGCTCTTGTTGAACCTCATGAGGTTCACCTGGGCCCACCTCTCCAGCCTGTCCAAGTCCCTCTGGATGACATCCTGTCCCTCCGGTGTATTGACAACACCACATAGCTTGGTGTCATCTGCAAACTTGCTGATGTTCTCCCATCTTTGACTAGGAGCAAAAGACTATTTGCCTCACTGTAAGTTAATGGCTATTCTCTTCAAATTCATAAACAAAATCACCACAAAGCTTTGCAAAGAGGCAAAACTTTCAGAAATCAGGGCAACGTACACCACTTTTCTCACAAATGGAGAGCAGTAGAAATAGTTAACTTCTAACTTTTCAGCTGAATGAGGCTCAGCACAATTTCCCTGGGGTTTACAGTATCACAGGATAGCTCAGGCTGGAAAGGACCTCAGGAGATCTCCAGTCCAACCTCCTTCTCAAGCAGTGTCAGCTATGAGGCCAGGCTGCTCAGAGATTTATCCAGCCAAGTCTTGAAAACTCCAGACAAGGAGGTGCCACAGCCACCCGGTGCAGCCGGTGGCACTGACCATCCTTGTAGTGAAAAAGTTTTTCCTTATATCCTGTTTGAACATCTCATTTCAATTCATGCCTGCTGTTCCTCACCTTCCTGCCACACACCACCCCAGAGAGCCCAGCTCCATCTTCTCAATGCCCTCCCCACAGGCATTGGGGAGCTGCTGTTAGGTCCCCACAGGAAGCCCCCTTTTCTCCTGCAGCCCCATCTCAGGGGGTGAGCGCTCCAGCCCCTGACCAGCTTGGTTGTCTCTTTTGCTAAAGTCCCTTCAACTGACGAACACCCTTCCTGTCATGGCAGCCACAAACATCTAGGTGTGGCCTCCTTGGGCTGAGAAGGGGGATGACCATGGCTCCCCTCAATCTGCTCGCCATGCTCTCATGAGTACGGCTGAGGATGCTGCTATGCCGGGGTGCACCCTGGGCTGATGTTCAGCTTGCTGGACACTGAGAGCCCAGGCAGGCCTTTTCAGCGGAGTCAAAAAGTCTCCAGCCCCCGGTCTGCCAACCCCCTGCACTGTCTCATGGACGCTACAAAGGGTTCTTCCTTTCCAGGGGCAGGAACTTACATCTGTCATTGCTGAATTTCATACAGTCCCTGTTGGCCCATTCCTCTTGCCCATGTAGGTCCCTCTGAGCAACAGCTCTGCCCTCCATTATATTAACGGATTCCCCTAGTTTCCTGTCACTTACACACTTATTAAGAGTGCACTTTGACACTTCCTCCAGGTCACTGAGAGTGATTTTAAACAGGACAGGTCACAGGACAGACCCATGTGGTGCTCCAGTTATTGCCAGCCTCCAGGTATGGTACGTCTGATCGACCACAACCCTCTAAGCCTGACCATCCAACCATTTACTTATCTAGTAAACGGCTAAAAAATCTTTACTTATCTCGTTGTCCATCCTTCCAGCCCTTAACATCCTAACTTGGATATAAGGACTCAATGTCAAACACCTGCTGAAGTCAAGGTAAATGACATAGTCTGCCCTCCCGGGGCCTACAAACCCAGACATTGTATCACTGAAGACCATCAGGCTGGCCAGGTGTGATTATCATACACAAATCTATGCTTGCTTTCTCCTTCACTTGATGAGAAACATTTTCCAAAAGGATTCACTACATGTTTGACTCCAAAGCGACGTAAAGGCCTGGGACAATTTGTTGGTGAAGACTGAGGCAAATAAGGCATTAGGTGCCTCAGCCTTATCTGTGTCCATCACCACTAAATACTGGCTCTACTTTGCAACGATCCAACATTTTTCCTTGTTCATGTTTTCACTACTAATGTAGTGGAAACAGCAGTAGCTCTTCTCACTGCTCTTGACATCCGCTTCATGTCTCAACTCCAGCTGAACCCTGGCATTCCTAACACCATCCATCCATGCCCAGGCAGTGTTTCTAAAGTCCTCCTCCGCAGTCTGTCCCTGCCTCCTCTGCCTTTTCAAACCACGTTACCAGCAGTGACACTCGGCGATGGGAAGAGGGAAGCAGGCACTGAGCACTGGCTCTCCCTGGAATCCAGCCTTCCACTTGCTTAGCACTTCTTTTCTATTTTTTTTTTTTTTTTTTTTTTTTTTAAATACCATGGAGCAATCCTGAAAGCTGATTACAGGCTGTTCCTGGAGCCTTCGCTCCCTCACCACCAGTGACACCTTCCATACAGTTCAGCCAAATGAGCAATTGTGTATAAGGCTGCATGGTTGTGTATCTTGGTTCTACTGGGCCTGAAGCAGCCGCTTTGCAGAGTTTACCATTTCAACTAAAACTTGGCACGAGCTCGCTCCCTACTAATGAAACTGGCAATCGGACTAGTGATGTGCTCTGACAATCTTGACAAACATTCAGCAAATCCCTGAGCTTCTTTTTTTTTGTATTTATATTGCCGTTTCACTTTCTTTTAGGCCGAATACTCTCTGGGGCAAGGATCAGTTTTTTACTGTGCTTGCACAATTATACACTTTGACTGGTTATGAACCAGGTTAAAGGTCACAACAGATGGTGCACATACATGGTAATACAAACACTGAACAACAATAAATCCTCGCCTTTTTCTGTGTATCTTTTAGTTTGATTCTCTTCCTTGTGAGACCCCCCCAGTGGAAGTCACAAGGGGTTGGGGGGTAAAGGCTGACTGAAATCATCAAGCCACAAGGCGAAGCACAACAGAAAATAACCACGCTGTAGGGAAGAAGGGCTCAAAGGCAGCGGGGCTCTAACAGAAAGGCAGCAAAGAGAGGAAAATTAAAGGACTGCAAAGGAACACCGAATAGCACCATTAACGGTAGATGATTAGGAATGAGATTACAGAAAGTAGACTTCTGGTACAAAATGAATACGGAGAATACAAGTAAATATTGACAGTCCACACATAAACTCAGACTGAGACTTCCAGGCAGATTATTTTAGACACTTCATGTTAAATAAATGCACCCGGAGCCCTCTATCCCACCAGAACGATACTGCGGTTGTGAAGGAGAAGGTGACAAGATTGCAGCTCAACCCGCGGACAAACACCTCCGCGGGGGCGGGCAGGACGAGGGTGCCCGGGCGGGGGGCTCCAGGCCCCACAGCGCAGCACCGAGACAGAGAAGCGCGAGTCAACGATGAACTTGCAGTAACGTGTACGGAGGGGCTGCACAACCAACCCGTAACCCGCAGAAAACCGCCCGCGTAATTAGCTGCAGCTGTTAATCGTGTATTCTCAGTGCCCTGAGGGTCAGCACGCGCTCCCAGGCCCCTGCGCTGCCTCAGCAGGAGCACCGCACACAGCTGTGTTTGTAGCCCATCCTTGCCGCGGGCCGAGAGGCAGCTGCAACGGAGGGAGAGCACAACCCGCTCCCCACGGCCACGGGAGACCCCTGCAACGGAGGGAGAGCACAACCCACTCCCCACGGCCACGGGAGACCCGCACCGCCCCCCCCGCTCTCCCCACGGCGATTTCCACAACACGGCGGCACCTGCGGCCACGTCCCCGGGGCCTGGGCCCGCCGCCGCCCGGGCAGGGGGGAACCGCGGCCCCCTCGCCGAGAGCTGCGGCCGGAGGCCCG